GAGGAGGAGGAGAGGAGGGGGAAGGGGGAGGAAGAGGAGGAGGAGGAGGAAGAAGAAGAAGGAGAGGGAGAGGAAGGAGAAGGAGAAGAAGAAAGGGTACATGAAGTTATCAGAAAACAGTGATGGGGAGCTATGGGGAGAGTTGAGAGGGAGTGGGCATGGATTTGATAAAAAACACCTTATATGCATGTATGAAGTTCTCAATAAATTATTTTTTTAAAGTTGATGCTGCAAGGACAGGGCTGTCCCCAGAGGTTGGACAGAGTGCCCGATACTCTGAAAGTCACTTGTTCTTTCCGACGCGGTGGAACTAACTGCTCTCGGTTGCCTAGCGCAGCTTGTCCTTGCTCCGCAGGTGGGAACCGCTTCTTCCCGGGTGACCCAGGCGCTCAGGCTGTCTGCCCGGGAGTCGCCTTCCGGATGCCCGGGTGAGAAGCGCCCTGGGAACTCTCAAAGGGTCTTTCACACATTTTGGAATGCTGCAGTTTGAATTTAGCTAAATTCGAGTCTCATCTCCAAAGGGAAGTAGTGGCGGAGGCAGGGCGAGGAGGAGCCCACAGCTTATTTTACTTAGAGCGGGGCTCTAATGAGGGCGACTTTTAGACCGGCTGATAGAATAGATCAGGGTCTAGACCCCTCACCCCCCTCAACCAGAGCCCCCAGGACCGCAACGCAGGACATCGAAGTAAGGACGTATTCTGTACCGGTGGCAAAGGCTTTGAAAAAGGGAATTTTGTATGAAAAATAATCCCCAACTAGAACCCTAGCATTTCAACCGATGGAGAAAACACTAGTTCAGAGGACATGTTCTCCCATCACCCCCACAGCTGCAGCGCCTCGTTGTTCAGGACATTGTGCAATTATCCAGCTAAACAATGCTGTTTAAAATCTTTCCCAATTCAATTTTCTGGGAAAGCACATTCAAGAGGAGGTGGGAACCATTAAAATATTACTGCATACAATAACAGCATTTTTTCATTATTCCTAAAATGCCGCTGTTAGATTCATCACTATGATGGACCACAGACAAGAAAAAGAAAAATGACGTCAATTAAGGCGGGCCATACCAGTGACTGTAAGGAACAGTCCAATTTCAGTTGCTTAAACCTGAAGAAGACTTATCGGGATCAGTGACATATAGTGTGCAAAAGAAAAGCAATAAAACAAGTAACAATTTTTTGACATTTTAAAGATACTAAATGAAAGCACAGTGGTTGCCCTTTATTCCCAGGGATAGTTCCAAGCCGTCCTAATCGATGCCTGAATTCTGGAGTGCTAGGATACTGTGTCCCCCACTACCTCCTCAGTCAGTATCAGGGCTTATCTGCCCTTTCAGGGGTTTTGAAATCTCCTGTGCATCATTATTTTTGTGCTTTGGGTCATCGTTAAGTAAAATAAGGGGTACTTAGTCACAAGCACTAGGATACTGGGAAGATTGATCCAAGATGGCCCTTAACAGGCTTGTAGTGATACAGTGTGAATAAGCAAAGCAAAAAAAATGCGTTCACAAAATCCCAGGTTAGAATGGAATGAGGTAAGCTGGGTGTGGTGCATGCCTTTAGTCCCAGCCCTCGGGAGGCAGAGGCAGGCAGATCTCTGTGAGTTCAAGGCCAGCCTGGTCTACATATTGAGTTCCAAGCCAGCTGTGGCTACAGGGAGACCCTGTCTCAAAAACACACAAAAAAAAAAATTAAAAGAAAGGAGGAATGAGGTTCCAACATCCTTCCCAGAATTGTTTATTTCTGGATTTTCCATTTAATATCTGGCTTCTGGTAAATAAAACTGTAGAGAGCAAAACTTGAGAAAACAGGTTATCTTCAGCTCTCTCCATGATTAGTGCTGTTTCTGTCCATTATTCAAGAAATTATACTCTTAAACAAACAAAACTCTTTAAAAAGTAGTAGAGGAGCTGGGGGCAAGTGCAATGAGCAAAGTGTAAGCCTGTGCACCTGAGTTTCATCCCCAGAGTTAATGTAAAAACTGTCTGGGTGGTACACATTTGTAATTTCAGTACTTAGGAGTCAGAGACAAGCAGATCCCTGGGGCTCCCTAGCTTTTTTGTTGAGCTCCAGAGCAGTGAGAGATCCTGTCTCAAAAACAAGGTGGATGGTACCTGAGGAATGACGCGTCAGGTTGTGTTCAGGTCTCCACATCATCCACACACACATGAACACGAAAACATACACACACGCATACACACAGAATGGTGGAATTGTGGAAAATGGTTTTAACCATTATTCAAAGCTCTTAAGTTTAGGAGGATACTTTTAGGGACTGAGTTATTAGAACAAAGGAAGAAGGATCTTGAAATAACATAATGCTTCAATTATTTCTGCATATTAACTAAAGCATCTTTCGGAATGGGGTTGAAGTACATGGAATAAAGGGAGAGTGGGATTGAATGAGGTATCTCTTCCTCTCTGTAGTATTCTCTAAGGATTGTGAGTTATTAATAGAGCATTTTCCAAAAGTTGAAACCACTTTCAAAAGCAATGGCTGTAACTTTTAGCACCCACAGTGCAGATTCCTGGACTCCATCCCAGACCTCTGTACTAGAAATGCTCTCAGATGATGGTGAGCTGTGAAGGTTCCCTGATCAAAATTTTGAGAAACTTTGTGGCCATGACACTCAAACTTTAGCACGGATCAGAGTCACCCGGAAGACCTGATAAGCTACTGTGCTCCCTCATCTCCAGAGATTGTAATGCAGTTGGTCTGGGGGGTGTGATCTAAGAATTAGATTTCTAGAAAGTCTTCGGGTGTTGCTGCTGTTGCTACTACTGTGGCGGTGAGAGGAACACATTTTTAAATGACTTTAAGAGAGCTGGAAAAAGAGCTGAATGAGATTCGAAGCCAGGCACAGTGCTGCACACCTGGAATTCCAGCACTTGAGACACACATACTGAGGCTTGCAAGTTCTGAGCTGCATAGTGAGTCCTTGTCTGAAACAAAACAAACTAATATTCCATAGACACTTGTCCTTCAATATCCAAAGGGGATTGGTTTCAGGACATTCAAGAAAGTCATATCTGGGGATCCAGAGTCCTTTGAAGTAAATGGCATAGTATTTGCTTATAACCTACACACATTCTTTGGTATATTTGAAGTCATCTCTCCATACTTATGCCTAACAGATCATAAATGCTGTGTAAGTAGTTGGCATTTTATTGTTTAGGGAATAATGACAGGAAAAAGTCTGTGCACATGTTCAGTACAGGCACAATTTCCCCAAAATGTTTTCTAGTCTCAGTGGGTTGAATTGAGAAGACGGAACCCTTGAATACAGAGGGCCAAATTAGGTTTGTCATTTCCTTTAAAATTGCAGAGTATTTAAGCATGAAAATTTACAGTATCCAGTAAAACACCCATGGGCCTCCAACCTGGCATTAGCATGCAATATGCGCATTATTGTTTTTTAAATACTTTTCTATTTTTATTTTTCATTTGTGCATGTGTATGTGTTATGTGCATACCCATGCTATAGTGTGCATGTGGTAGGGAGCAGAGGACAACATGTAGGAGTCAATTCCTCTCTTTCCATCTTGTGAGTCCCAGGGATCAAACTCTGGTCATTAGACTTGGGGGCAAGCACCTTTACCTGCTGAAGCATCGGCAGCCCACTTGTTACCTTTTCAATCTTTTTTGTGCACTTTTCTGATTTCATTCTCATTCCTGAGTAGGAGAGTCACTTTCTCATCCACATTTTTGCACTTTTAGTGCATCATTTGCAATTCCAAAAAATATTAATACTTTTTATGTTTTAAAGATTTGAAGCTATTTATCATTTTTTGACATGTTCCTAGGAATCCTACAGTTTGAATTGTTCTAGATGTTTGTTTCATAAAGATATGTCAATTTCTTTAAAAAGTAGCTGGGTGTGGTGAAACACACCAAGAATCCCAGCACTCTGAGAGGTGAGTTTGAGACCAGCCTGGGTTACATGGGGGAACCCTCTCAAAAACAAAAACAAACATATATATGTATAAATATATACATATGCACATGTATATATATATAATAGAGTATAAAATATATACTCTATTGTATATATATACACTATATATATTTAAAATATTTATTATTTTTATTTTATGTGTATGAGTATATTGCCTGCTTGTATGTGAGTGCGCCTCTGTCAAGCATTGCTGTGGAGGTCAGAAGAGGGCTTCAGATTCCCCTGGAACTGGAGTCAAGGATGGTTCATAGCCACCATGTGGGTGCTGGGAATCGAATCCGGGTCCTCTGTAAGAGCAGTCAGTGCTCTTAACTGGTGAGCCACCTCTCCGGCCCCTACACACTATATTTTATTCCTCAAAAATATTTTTATCTGTAATTTTGTCCCCATTTTTGTTATTAACATAATTCATTTTGAGTTCCCCCTATTAACAATCTAGTTAGAGGTTGGAAGTGATTATTTTTCATTTCTCATGTTTTTGTTATTTTTTATTATTATTTTTATTTTATGTGTATAAGTGTATTGCCTGCATGTAGACAGGTGCAAGGAGGTCAGAAGAGGGCTTCAGAGTCCCTGGAACCAGAGTTACCGATGGTTGTTAGCTGACACGTGGGTGCTGGGAATCAAATCCAGGTCCTCTACAAGAGTATACAGTACTCTTAACCTCTGAGCATCTCTCCAGCCCCATTATTGCTATTTCCAATTTCATTAACTTTCACAGTGTTTAAAAACTGTGTATATTAATTGTGCATAGTACTGGGTTTCATGAGACATTTTCATACAAGTATGTCATTGCACAAAGTTTTCTTTTCTTCTACTTTTTTTGGGTTTACTCTAACTTTTGACCTGATTGCTTAATTGATTAATCTTCCCTCTTCCCCACAAAGGACCATGTCCTAGTTTGTTCTTCATTCCTGTGACAAAACACTCTGACCACTACCAACTTGGGGAGGAAAGGGTTTATTCAGCTTCCATCTCCCAGGTCGCAGTTCATCAGGGAGCCCAAGGTAGGAACTCAGGGCAGGAACCTGGAAGCAGGAACTGGAGCACAGGCCATGGAAGAACGCTGCTTACTGGCTTGTTCCCCTGGCCCCTGCTCAGCCTGCTTTCTTATGCAACACAGGCCCACCTGCCCAGGGGTGGCACCACCCACAGTGGGCCCTCCCACATCACTCATCAAGAAGATGCCCTCAGACATGGCCACAGGCCAGTCCAATAGAGGCAATTTCTAGTAATTTCTTTTCGGAAGCTAGTTGTGGCAATACCAAGATCACATATAAGATGAAAGCAACATGGCACTCAAAGGCCGGATGCCACCCTTGAAGTTCTGTGCAAGACTTCCGCATTTGTTGTTTAAGCAAACAGAAGGTTTGATAAGTTACAAACTAACCAGCAGGAGTTTTTGTCTTTTGTTGTTACAAACTAATATTGGTATTTTGGGTTTAGAAGCAGAGTTTGTATCTCATAATGGATCAAGAAGTATTTCCACTAATTAGATGACAAGGAGAGTAGTTTGCTACCCATATAGCTTAGGGTACTGAGCAAAGGTTCAAATTCAGCATCTGTTAAAAAGAAAACAAAAACCAAAAAAACTTTTCTCTAGCAGGCCACAGTGGTACACAATGGTAATCCTAGCACTTGGAAGGCCAGGCCAGGAGGATTAGGAGTTCAAGGCTATCCTCTGCTACTTGCTATGGCAAGTTTGAGGCCAGTTGGGTTACATGAGACCCTGTCTCAAAGTAAAGTAAAACAAATCAGAAACTTTGGTTCCTGATAACTTAGGTAAACTCAATATCTTTCAGTTCTGTTTCTCTTCCAATTTTATTTTGGCTAAGGAAAACAAGGCAGCCCAGTAAGTCTATACCAGCTACTTTATTTTGAGATTGAGAGGACATTCAGTTATCCCCAGATCATTAGTTGAAAGCCCTATCCATGCAGCTAACAGTCTAAAGTAGTACTGGGCTCCTGAGGGGCACGAGGTATGTGTGAGGTTGTCTCCTCACAACATTGTCAGACTTGTGTCTATACCCGTTATTTAAATTTTTCTTAAAAATTTTGTTTGTAGTTAATGAGTGTTTTGCCTGAATGTGTTAAGTGCACCACATGTGTTCAATGCCTGCAGAAGCCAGAAGAGGGCATTGGATCCCCTGGAACTGGAGTTACAGATGGTTGTAAGCTGCCATGTGGATGCTGGGAATCGAACCCAGGTCTTCTGTGGGAGCAGCCAGTGCTCTTAACTGCTGAGCCATCTCTCCAGATTCTGTAACTATTTGCAAGACACTGGACTGACAGGGCCTGAAATAGCTTCGGGAGCTTAGAGTACTCTATTTTAATATTAACATTAATATTAATGATTAATATTTAAACCAGGTCCTGATTTCAGCTATAGAGATAACTGGCCATTAAGACCTAATGCTCATGAGAGCTCTTTCAAAAATAGACCACTTTCACCATTCGGAGTTCTGTGGTTGCCTCAAAATGTTTGAGGAGTCCTACAAATCCCCACGTAACCACAAAACCATAAAAATCACATCATGAATAGTAACTCTAATTGGTACACACATATACACACACTGGCATACATATTTCAGTTCTGGTCTTTTATACCACATTGTGATTACATGAGTTGTCTCTTTCTTGGCCACTAACTTCCACAATAAAGCAAACAGGCCTTCCTCCTCTTGGAGTTCACTAGAGCACATCCTTGGAAAGCAGCTAGAATGGACTTCTGTGGTTTTTTGCCTTTTGAAATGCCAGGTGCTGCAGTAGAGGTTAGGGGACTACGGGTGCTTGCAGCCTTCCTGGGCAGACCTCAACCTTTCCACTTTTATATTAGTGGAAACATGATAATAGGCCAAAATACAGGAACCAGCATCACAAAAATCATTAGTTCCAATTGCTTAGTGTTAGTATTCCCCCAAAGCAAAAGGGTCGGTGGAGGACGCTGGGGAGATGGCTCAGTGGGTGAAGGGAGGTTGAGCAACACGAGGCTCTGAGTTTGGAACTCCAGAACCCATGTAAAAGCTGGGAATAGCAGTGTGTGCCTGTAACCCCAGTGCTGGCAGCAGGGAGACAGGAGGATTCTGGGGGATTGCTGGTCAGGTAGTCTAGCTGAAAAGGCAAGCTCGGGGTGCAGTGAGAGACCCGTCTCAGAAAATAAGATGGAGAGTGGTAGAGGAAGATATCCAAAATTCACCTCTGGCCTCTACATGTGCAACGCACAGGTCTGAGTCCCGGGGAAGAAGATGTTCAGGAATTTTAAGGTATAAGGAACAAGCTCCTGGCTTAGAGATGGTTCAATCCTGAGAGTGGGCCCAGGCCCAGGTTGGCTCCGACAACCTCTACAAACTTAGCTCAGCAACATCGACATCCATGTCCCTAGTGCCTTCTTTTTGTGTTTTGTTGTTTTGTTTTGCTTGAGACAGAATCTCCCTGTAGCCCCAGCTGGCCTGGAACTTGCTAAGCATCCCAGGCTGGCCTTGCTCTCATAGAGAGCTGCCTGTCTCCGGAGTGTTGGGATTGAAGGTCTCCCACAGCCTTCTTGTAGCTCCTTTATCCTTGAATTTCTTCTCTAGTCGTTCACTCAGCCATGGTCCTTTGAAGATCTCTCATAAAGGGCAATCAGTGACCCTCATTCAAGAGCACCCTCATCTTGAGGGCCAACAGAGAAAACTCTCCGTGAGGACACTAGAATGATCCAAGCATCTTTACTCACACACACACACACACATGCCAGCATATCATTCCCTGTTAGAGTAAGTTAAGACAAGTTCCTTTCAAAGATGTTGGGAAAGACTGCCTTTGCTCCCTAATCTTGGCCCCTATGCATATATTTCCACCACAAGTTTTTCCTGGGGCACAAAGAACGATCGATGCCCCTTACTGTTCCTGGCCCTCTTTCCCCACTTTCCAGCCCTGGTAGAGGGAGGTTTACTCTCAAGGCAAAGCTTAACTGATTCCTTTGTACAGAAATCCACATTAAGGCTAATGATTAAAAGAAAACACTCCCACACCCACAAGTTGAGATAGCATTGTTCTATGTGGTCAAAAATACACGAAGCCTGCAACAGTCACAAAAATAGGAGGTCCAACTTACAAAATTAGAATTTTCTAAATTCTGTAGGTCTTAAACTTAAGTTGACTTGTGCCAAAAGAACACATTTTACAATCCCCAAGGAAAATAAACCTCTGGAATGAATGAACAAAGTGTCGAGAGGGTCTAGCCTGAGGGTCTGAGTTCCTACTATGCTCTTTCTTCCTTTTAATAACAACACCTTCTTTTCTGCCCTTGGTTTTAGTTGGATTCTTTGTTGCCTGGTGAGGGATTGCTAAAGTTTGGAAGCAGTCTGTCCTCACCCAAACTCAGGTTGAAGTCTGATTCCCAGTAACGGTGTTGAGAAGTGGGACCTTTCAGGAGCCAATTAAGTTGTAGGAGCTCTACCCTCATGAATGGAGCAGTGCTTGAGAGACTAGATTAGGTATTAGGGGAATGAGTTGTGTCTGTTGGGACCGGATTAGTGACAGAAAAGTGGGTTATAAAGTAAGGCTACTCCTGGCATTTTGTTTCTTCCTCTAACAGATTCAGGTACCATTCTCTTAGCCCCCCAGAACTTTGAATTAAATATGTTTCTTACAAAGTGCCCAGCCTCAGGTATTTTGTTATAAGAACACCCCCCTCCCCCCACAAGATGAGGACTCAAGGAGGCCGTAACCTAGTCCTGGCAATAGAAAGTAAGCAGAAGTGACCTGAGTACTTTATCCTGAACTTCTTTCCCTCTTTTTTTGCTGGTTGAGAATCAGTGGTGAGTACAAGGCCAACTGGTCAACCTGAATAATCCTGGCAGTGCCCCGTGGTCTACTGACCTATAAACTGTTGAACCTGAGAAAAACAAACTTTCCTGTCTTTTTTTCAGCAGCCAGTGCTTTGTGTCTCCTCCTTAGAGCAGATTACTCTATACCCCAATTTACACAGCTACAAGTACATCATTTCTTTTCCTGACAAGACCCACCAAGAGTCTTCTTCCCCTGAGTGGGATTTATTAAGACAACCTAAAAACCACAATCATGTAATTAAGTAACATTTATTTTACATAAAACAATTTTTAAAGAATACATTTAAAAACCATCTAGATACTGATTTTATAGCATTACAAAAAATTGAGAGGCACAATTGAAGTATTCAAATAAATTGTGAGGGGTGAAGGTGGGGGCCTATGAGTGCTGTCCACGTAGTTCCTTAGACTCCTGGTACAGAAGTCTTCCCGTGAGGCAGTAGTGCACTTCCATTGAGTAAACTGAATAAATCACATAAAATATATACTTTTATACAGAAAGTGTTATTGTATCATCACTTTCAATTTCTTATAAAAACTTCATTTTGAATTGCACAAAAGTTCTCTGTAAAACGGATAATTCCCAGAAGACAGGGTTTAGAACTATGTCTAAACAATTAATTACAAATTAATTAGCTTTCCATTTCTCCACAGATTAAAAAAAAATCTATGAAGAGTTACATTATTTAAGTAGGACATTTAAAATTTCTCATAGGAAAATAGGTTTATACATTTGTCCCTAGTCAGCTAAACTCTCTCCCCCTACTTCAGAACAAATCACAGGGTGCCCAGAGTTTAAATCGGAGTACCTACACCACAGTACAATGTGGATGTGTGTCCATTAGTTCATTTTGTGTGTCCCACTGTAGTAAGAGATTATCAAAAAGGCACATGGGTACATTCTTCCAAACAGTTTTGGTCTTAAAAAAAAAATCACACGTTTATAAGCAGTGATTTAAATCATGTTTGAAAACAAAAATACTAGACAGATTCATTTCTCGATCCAGGTGATGTGGAATCCAGGCAGGCACTTCACTTCCCGTAGAACTTCTTGTTGAGCAGGTATATAAGCAGGTTCACGTTCACTTTAACCTTATCGAACATTTTCATTACAGCAACGCCTTCATATTGCATCTGAAGCAAATCCTGGAATCAGAGGGAACAGTATTAAATATTTGTTTCACAACATTCAAAAGAACATACTAGAAGGATATGACTCAGCTGCTCTAGTAACCCAGCAGGGGCTTCTGGGACATCAGTTTAACAATCACCTGGTTTGCAACACAGGCGAGTTAGAACCTGGAATTCTGCACCCGAGCCCAGGAATTTCTGCTTTTGCAGCTCTGAGGGGAGAGTTGCACTTTACAAGTTCCTAAGTGACAGTGATGCTGCGGTCAGGACTCCACACTTTGGGAATTGCTATCCTAGAAGAAAGAATATGGTTTAAAAACACAGGGAAAGACAGGGTTCTAATTTTGTGGTAGAGAGCTACCTTGCATGTGAGGTGTTCTGAGTTTTTGCCTCAGCAAAAGTAACCGTATGAAAGAAAACTGTTTTCATCAACTTATTATCAGATACATAATTTTAATTTCAACTTAAAAATTACATTTATTTATCAGGGGGGAGGTGCACACATGGGGGTGGGGTGCTCACATGTGCTACTGTGTACCTGTGGAGGTCAGAGGACCACTTGTGAGAGTATGTTCTTTCCTTCCACCATGTGGGTTCAGGGATCAAATTTAGGCTGTCAGGTTTGTGCAGTAAGTGCCCCTATCCCCTGAGCCATTTCACTAGCCCCTTAATTTCAACTTTTAACTGAACAATTAGAAGCCCAAATGTTTTAGTGAAATGGGATATATTCTTTAGAAAAGTTGTGTTTTCAAAGTGGAATAAGTGAGACCATCCAGTGGGGAGTAAAGTGAATATTAGAAGTCATTATTTTTCATTTGTTAAACATTTTTGCCTTGTATAAACTTTATAAAGCACACTTGAGAATGCTGACAGAAGTGCGTGTGCTTTATATAAACATACATATGTGTGTTTGGAGGAGTAGATTATATTACCTACTGACGCAATGACAGGACCAAGCTTTGCAGAGCACTGCCCCAAACAAGTCCTTCCTGAAAACAAGCCCTCAGTCTCAAGTTGGACTATTGGTCTTTCATTGCCACTATAAACACAGGAAATCGGTTTTCTAAAACAAACCATCAGACTTCACCAGCCGTATGCACGACAGCAAGTGACATCATTTTTCAATTGCACAGTCCAGGGAAAGCAGTCTTTCCTGAGTAGAAGACACCATCCTAAACTGTACTGGACTAATAACACCCAGGTCTCATTTAATTACTTCTATTTTTGAGATTTCTTGGTTCTAAATGGTAACATAAGGACTCTACAAAGCAGGCTCCCTGAAGAAGTTGGAGTCTACATGAAGGGATGGAATGTTGGCTCTTGCCATGTCCTCCTCCACAGTCCCAATTACCTCCAGCTGTGCTCAGCTCCAGCCCTGCATTACCCAGCTAAGCTTCTAGAACTGAAACTGCATGGGAACTGAAGTCTGTTCTTCAAGACTTTTGCCTATCTGAGTGCAGTGGAGATTCACTTTTCCTTTGGGAAAAGCAGCAAGTTAATCAGTCTTTTGGGAAAGAATGAAATCAATGTGATTAGCTGTGATGGGGGAATTAGCGGGGACTTGTGAGGCAGAGAGCTGACAAAACATGGCAATGTTCATGGTTAGAAGGTCAGATTTTAGTCTCGGCTTTGTCCTTTGCTATCTCAAGACTATAACATGAGCTAACCCTACTGCAGTGTGCACACTGAGGATAAGGCTGCCAACTTCACCAGGGTGCTATAGGCGAGAGCTACTGAGATAAGGTGGCTCAAGTCCTTTGTAGCCACCTTGTCTCACGACCAGCTGAAATCCAGGAGTTAAAGAGCTTGGGCCCCAGCTGCCTCTTTCCACAAAGAGTTCTCCTGGAGAGGAACAATGCTGCCCCCAATAAACACTGGCCATTACGTTTGTAAGCAGTACATCTGCAACACAGTTCATACTCTCCTCTGAATAGGTGGCTGATAGTTACAGGACAGAATTCCAGCCCATAGCTTTCTTTAGGAAATGAATGGAGAATGGGTTGACAATGATCTAAAGACAGCTGCGATGCTGGAAGGAACTTCCTAGTCCTCCCCCAAACATCTCTCCTTTCCCCTGCTGTCAGTCCAACACCCACCCTCATGCTTTTCTTTAGTAATTTACAGATTCATGTCACTATCTAAAAGCCATGTATAAAAGGAGAAGCTTGACTTTTCCTTTGACAGGGATTATATGTTCGGCTGCTGGGCTGGTTAGTTTTGTCAACTTGACACAAACTAGAGACACCAAGGGAAGCTCAGTTGAGGAATTTCCTCCATGAGATTGGCCTGTGAGCCTGTCTTTGGGGAATTTTCCTGATTGCTGGTTGATGTAGGAGGGCCTAGTCCACTGTGGGCAGTAGCATCCCTAGGCAGGTGGGCCTGGGCTGTATAAGAAAGGTAGCTGATTATAATAATGTTGATCAAATGTCTGACCTGAAAAGAGCATGTAGACAAACTTAATACTGAAGAACCCTGTGATAAATGACTGAGGAAAACCGGATGAAGTTTGATCTATCAATAAGAGTTGTTTCTTTTAATTATAGCTACTTGGTTGAATGCTTTCATTTGGATGGCTTACTTGGGCCCAGATTGTGGAGACCTGTTAAATGGAATGTACAAAGTCAGCTTGACTGAATGGAAATGCACCTGCAAGTTTTACACAAAGCAGGTAGACATTGCTCTTGAAAAGTTCAAGGACTCCCATGGCAGCAGGGGACATGCTCCAGATGCTGTTTAAAAGGCAACTAGGGGGCTGGAGAGATGGCTCAGCAGTTAAGAACACGGACTGTTCTTGCAGAAGACCTGGGTTCAAATCCCAGCATCCACATGGCAGCTAACAACTGTCTGTAACTCCAGTTCCAGGGGATCCGATAGCCTCTTCTGTCCTCTGTAGGCATTGCACGACACGGGTGCACTTACCTACACACAGGCAATACACGCATACACATAAAATAAAAATAATAAAAAAATTAAAAGGCAACTGGATAGAAGCTTTGGGATAGACGAGTGTACACAAGATTGTTTGACTGTCATAAAAATTAAAATAAGTGGGGCTGGAGAGATGGCTCAGTGGTTAAGAACACTGGTTGTTTTTGCAGAAGATCCAGGTTTGAATCCCAGCACCCTAACAGCTAACAACTGTCCATAACTCCAGTCCCAGTGGATCCGACAGCTTCTTCTGTCCTCTGTGAGCACTGCACGACACGGGTGCACTTACCTACATGCAGGCAATTATTGCATACACATAAAAATAATAAAATTTAAAAAATTAAAATAAATTTATTCAAACAAACAAACAAACAAACTAAAAGTTAGCTGAGCAAGCCAGGGTCAAGCAAGCTAGTAAGTGCTCCTCCATGGTCTTGACCTCAGTTCTGGTCACCAAGTTTCTGCTTGAGCTCCTGCCCTGACTTCCCTTGATGGACTGAGGAGTGAAATGAACCTTTTTGTCCTCAAGCTGCTTTTGGTCATGGTGTTTATCACAGCAACAGAGAGCAAACTGGACTGCTGTCTCCATCGCATGCAAACTATGCAGGTACATAGGGCTCATGTTCACAAGGGCCCTGCACATACTTGGTTTCATGCTCTTCTGCTGTCCGCCTAAAATCTTTCATCATTTTGAACAAAGGGACCCTGCATTTTATTTTGCCTACGCTGCAAACTTCTTAGCTACATCTTGCATGTTTTTTGTTTTAATCAACTGTTATTAATTGAGACAGGGTCTCACCTTTTAGCCCAGATTGACCTGTAACTCACTATGTGCTTAGGCTGGCCTCAAGCTCCTGAAAATCCTCCTGCCTTAGCCTCTCTTCTCGGGTACTAAGAGTACAGGTATAAGCCACCACACCTTGTTGATCATGTTAATAAAAAAAAATCTGGGGCATATCAGCAACCTGCACACATCTTATGTATGTTACATGAACAGTGCAGGTAGTTAATCCTACTGTATACTGAATCCTCAGCAAAGGGGCAAGCAAAGCCTGGTGTTTGTACTGGACATCCATGGAACTCCTGAGCTAGCTCTGTAAACTAATGGGGGCGTCTTCTCATCACCTGTGGTGCGTCTGTCCATTTGATACTGACCGGCCTCGGGTCATTTCCTTTTTGGCAACCATATTTATCATTGCCATTTCTACAGAAGAACTGCTAACCATGGTGCATCACACGTTTTCTCTTCTCATATCTATCTGTCACATAAAGTAACAGAACACTGTCTCTACCTGTATTGCTAGATGAATACATTTAATGACATTCAATAGGAGGTAGAAAACAAGACTGACTGATAAGTAGACCTTTCATAATTACACATCATCTCGTAGTTTTCTCTTGGAACTCCAACTTACTTGCTTATCTTATTGTCCTTATGGAAGCCATTCAGGTTCTATTTTTCTTTTTAAGCTCACAGGGATGCTGAACAGAAAAGGGTATCAGCTCCCACAAAGGGCAGGAATTCAGAGCATGGAGCCATGGGCTGAGCTGGCAATGTGGCCAGATCTTACATCACCCAGAGCTCAGCAGGATGAATCCCAAAGATCTATGCAGAAAACCTGGAAACCATATTATAAGATTCTTGAGGCTCAGGCAAACAGGTGTTAGCTTAAAAAGAAAGACTCCATTATTTCTCCCAAATGATCCTGTACTAAGATTAGGAAATTAGTGCTAGATAAACATTTTCCTTGCAGATTTTCCTTCAATTCTCTCTTTTGTACATAAACTTGATTTCTCGGTTTCTGTCCAAATGTTCTGTTTAAAATTTTTTAATGATAAAATTGTGATAATTCATATTGCAAACACATTTTAAAAATTTCTTAGATATGTGCTTTGGATAATGTCTCTCATTCTTGTGAGCCCAAACATTTAATGAATAGATTTAAGACATGTTTACAACTATTTTTAGAAAAGGAAAAATGAGATCAGGAAAGTCCTGATTTGGGATTTATGGCCTGTGATAGCTAATCCTGGGTGTCAACTTGACTGGATCTGGGATTAACTGAAATGAAAGAGATCTTCTTGATTGGATCATCTGAAGCTGGAAGACACACACTAAATATGGGTGTTACCTTCTGATGGCAGCCCATATAAAAGGCCAAGGCAGAGGAGAACGCCTGGCTTCTTGCTGCTTGCCTTCTCTCTCGCTGGTGAGTTCGTCTTGCTGCTGTAGACTGAAGACTAGCTGATCTTTTGGAATTTGTCAGACTTTCAGCGCCAGATTGGGACTACTGAGACATCCAGCCTTGTGGACTGAGCGACTACAGATTCTCAGCCTCTCCAGTGTGGTGCAGCCATTGTTGGACTACTCGGACTCTTATCCTGTGAGCTAAGCTGATAAATCTCTATACATATATATATATTCATTCTACCAGTTCTGTTTCTTTGGAGAACCCTGACTAATACATGGTCTTAGGAAAAAATGCAAGCTTATTACATAAGGACACTTTCCAATCTTTATTTCATAGCTGAATACTTTTATATCATATTCTTTTAACTCAACACAGAATTGTGGCCCAGAAAAATCAGCTGCTACAGTTTGCTATCAAAAAGTATCTTAAATTCTTTCTATTTGAAAACAAAATCACAGCTTGAAAAAAAATCTGCTTAATGAACACTGCCAATGTAAGTGCATTTGTGGCTTGAGTTTCAACTGCTGTCATGAGAGGTGTGAGGCAAAGAGAGTCACAATGGCCCTCATGTAAAATCCACCCTTGATCTACAGAAATCCTCTCACCTGAATATTGAGTTGTACCTTCTCCATCTCGACACTGAGGAACTTTGATCTGACGTCAAAGATGCCCACATCTTCGGTAGCTACGATATCGAATGTAACATTCTTAAACCTATTGAAAAGAGGAGCAATAACACATGTGGAATTACAAATAAACCCTTAATGCAGAAAGAAACTCAACTTAGGACCAGCGAACAGCCTGCTGGGAAGATTCTAAGGAAGTCACCAAACACCTCGTATCATCTTCTCCCAACTCCACTCCCTAAACATTAGGTCTGAAGGCTACTATTGAGATCTGAAGTGGGTGATTTATTACAAAAGAAATAGCGGATATATGAGAGAATTAAATATCAACCTATATGGCTACCAGAGAAATTGAGTACGTTAGATGGCAATTTTTATAGAAACTTCAAGGGAAGAGGAGGCAGTTTCTCTGAGCTTGCTTAGGAGGTTTTGTGGACCAGACCCTGAAAAAGGAGGAGGCTAAAGTAAGTGCTGACAGCTCTTGAGACAGATGAGAAGGGCATGAGCAGCAAGGGACTCCCTGTACTCTGCAAAGGAAGAAGCATGGTGTATCTGCTGGGGCTATGGACCAGGGTTTCTGTTTCTCTTTCTACCTTGAATTCACACCCCCCAGCACACTGATGAACTCCTGGTTCTGACCAGGAGCTGGCACAGCCTATGGTTTTGAAACTAGAAAGACAACTGCTGAACAGCTGTAGCCATTTACTTGAATCACGATGAAAAGGCACCCTTCTTTTGAAGGCCCAGGGGAGACCTGCAGCTTCTAGATTCACATTTCACAGAACTGATGCTAAAGGCCTGAAGGAAAGCCCAGTGATCTGTAATCCGGGATAAGCCCTGATAGACCAAACAAAGCTCTTTCGGTGGTCCAGGGAAGCAGAGGAATGCTGAGTCAGCTTGTGTGAGGGTTCTCTGCAGATGCCAGGTGACACTCACTGGTTTGTTTGAAGGTCATCTATGCCCAACAGGATGCCTTTCTCATGCAGCTTTGCTGCTGTGTATCTCACTGGCTTCGCTCTCTTCATTCCTCTGGGTTCTGCTTTTCCATCTAGTTTAATTGATCTCCGAGAATTTCTGAGAAAGTGAACAGACCACCTGTTGTAACAATGCTCCTGGTGGCACAGCAGCCCAAGGGACCCCACTGTGCACAGTCAGCTCCCCTGAACCCAAGCATGCGCCTTTTCATTTTCTGATAGTTGACAATGTTCTCCATATTCGAAAATCACTACCAAACTGGTTTCCTAAGTGACTGAAGTTGGTCACTTTTTTTTAAAACAAAAATTACACTGTGTTCACAGGTATCTTGAACTGACTGTCTTGTAAGTCACTGTAAGTGGCTCTGTAGTAATCAAATGAACTTTCTATTCTGAAGTAAAGGTATTACTAGAATTGCTTTAATTTAACAAATACTATGTGCCTGACTGTTCTAAATACTTTATACATATTACTTTGTATTTACCAAATGTGCAGTTTTCATGTGCTTCTAAATTAATGTATTTCGTTGCGTAAAGTCCTTTCATTTAGCTGTCATAACAATACTTGTGAAGCTGGTACTCTCAATCCTATGTTAAACAGGAGAACACTGAGGCTCAAGAGTTCACTGGCACTGGTTCAAGATTGCATAATGTCTCAGAAGCTACATTAGGACTACAGAGTTTGTGGCTTAGAGTTGCTGTACCAGCTATGTAAAGCAAACCGCTAACAATTATTCCTACTGAAAATTAGCTTGGTCAAGTTCTTCTTCCCAGCTGTAGTGTAAAAAGGCCTATATATGACCCACATGCAAATGAATGAAAACTCAGACTGACTGGGGTGATGAGACAACTTCCCTTCATCAGATCATCTAGGATTAATGCAATTGATTTTCCCACAGTTTTATTTCCTATTGCTTTTTGCTGACAAAGGTTATATGAAAATATTGTATTACATATTTGAATGGGCAATTAAAATTTGATTAGAGCCAGGCCTGGTGGCGCACACCTGTAGTCCCAGCACTTGGGAGGCAGAAGCTGGTGGATCTCTGTGAGTTCAAGGTCAGCCTGGTCTACACAGTGAGTTCTAGGACAGCTGGGGCCACAGGGAGACCCTGCTTCAAAAAGACCAAAAAAAAAAAATTTTTTTTTTGATTAGCATTGACCCTAGCCTAGTGATAAGAATAATTATCAGTGAAAAATATTCACTGAGTAATTATATTGTGTATAAAGATCTATAATATGGGGGCTGGAGAGATGGCTCAGCAGTTAAGAACACTAACTGCTCTTGCAGAGGACCTGGGTTCCATTCCCAGCACCCACATGGTGGCTATGAACTTTCCTTAACTCCAGTTTCAGGGGAATCTGATGCCCTCTTCTGACTTCTGCGGCATTGGACGACACGGGTGCACCCACATGCATGCAGGCAATACACTCATACACATAAAATAAAAATGATAAAATAAAATATTAAAAAAGGATCTATAATATGTATGCTAATGGAAATTAGAGAGCTGCCAAATTTGGCCTGTTATGTCAGTAATGACCTAAAAAAAAACACTAAATAATTTAAAATCATGTTGCTCTATGTAATTAGCAAATATTTGGCTTATTTAACATTATCAAGAATATAAAATTATCAAGAATGTTCACCATAAACATTCCAAACACACACACACACACACACACACACACACACATATATATATGTTATAATAGTGTTTTGAAAGCACCTTTGACTAAGAATAGGAAAGAAAGTATTTCTTCAAAGTTGATGCTATTTACTTAAAATATAATAGCGTAACTGACATATTTTAATGTTAGAGCCAATAGGAAGTTTAAAACCTGTCAAATTCATTCTTAAGTCACAGCAGTTGATGATATAATTGAGACTCTACTTGTTGGCTATAAAATGGAATAAAAAGTTTACTTCCAATCCCAACCCAGGACTGTATCTCCTGCCAATCATGACATTGTGAATGAACACGAGGTGATTTGAACTCACTTCCTTTTTAGGTTGTCTAAACAAGTCTTGATGTAGGTGTCATAGTAATTAATCTGATCTTCATAAAATGCTGCCTTCTCATTTAGTGCGTTCAGGGTCTGCTGAAGTTTTGCCAATTCAGCTTTTCGAAGCTTGCGATGGATTCTTTGATTTCGAATATCCTGAAACAAGCAAAGGCTATAATGATAGGCTGAAGCAGAATTTGCTCTGAGATTGCCAATTTAGGAGGACAACAAGCAGCAGGCCAGTGTGGAACTGCTGACTCTAGTTGATTGCAGGCTCCTCATTCCATATCTTAATGCAACACCAATGCACTGCCATCATTTTCTCTTTTGGAATTGGAAAGTGTCCATATTTTATTGTAAGAGGTTCACTTTATTTTTCCTTTTGATGGAAAAAGAAAGTGGTCTGGGGAGAGGACTCAGGTTGTAAAGTGCTTGCTGCACAAGTATGAAGACCTGAGTTCAGATCTCCAGTACCCATGTAAAAGTCAGGCTTAGAAGTGTCCATCTGTAATGGCAGCACTTGGGGACAGAGACATGCAGATCTTGGGGGTTCACTGCTCAGCCAGTCTAGTTGAAATTATGACCTTCACTTTCAATGGGAGACCCTGTCTCAAATAATCAAGTGGAAAACTACGAGGAGGGACACCCAGCATTAACCTCTGCTCAAAGAAGTAATCTGAGAGTCATCAAACAGTTTAAGAAAAGACAATCCTTCAAAAGGAGTACAAAGGGCTGGGATGTGGGTCATTTGGTGGACTGCTTGCCTGGCAGCATGTGTGAAGCCCTGGGTTCAAGGCCAAGCACCACAGAAACAGGGCATAGTGGTGTATGACTCTAGTACTAGCACTTAGGAGGAGGCAAGAAGTTCAAAGTCATCCTTGGCTAGATAACAACTTAGAAGCCAGCCTGAGACTTATTAGCAAGAGAAATACGATTTCTTCAGACTGTCTTGAACTTTCTTCTTTGAAGACTATCTTAGTTTAGAAAGGTTTTTGTTCACATATTGATTTCACTTCAGTAATAAAAAACTTTGACTTGGTAACTATTAAGTTTTGAAAAAATTATGGGTTTTGTGACTGACTGAGAAGATTCAATACTGAAAACTATTACAATCAGACAACCTTCCATTTCTGTGGTTCCACATTTGTGGATTCAATCAGATAGGAACTGAAAATATTCAGGAAAAAAAACTTTGTATCCACAGTAAACATGTACAGATTTTTTTTTCTGTGTTATGAAAGATGATTGAAAGTATATGAGGGAGCCAGGCACGATGGCACACACTTCTTGGTCCCAGTCACTTCGGAGGCTGAGGCAGGAGGATTGCTTGAGTCCACAAGTGAGACCAGTTTGGGCAATATAGCAAGATACCATTTCAGTAAAGAGTACACTGGAGACAGGAAGATGTGAATAGCTCATATGCAAATACTATGCATTTCATATCAGGGACTTGAGCATCCACACACTGGTTATCAGTAGGAAGTCATAAAGCCAATCCCCTCCAGATAGCAAGAAATGACTGTACTTGGATTTAAATAGAATTCTTAGAACATGAAGTTGAGTTAGCTATTTATGGATTATAAGAATTGAGCTAAAAGTAAACTTGAAGATATAGCTTTAAAAAATTACTCAGTAAAGGCCAGGGACATGGCAGTGGGTGAAAGTGCTTGCCACACAAGCCTGATGACCTAAGACCGATTCCTTTAAAACCATGTAAAATGTCAGATGTGGTGGCACATAAGTGTAATCCTAGTACTCCTACTGCAAATAGGAGGTGGAGACAGGAAGAGTGACTGGAAGCTGGTGGGCCAGCTAGCCTGGAGTACTCTGCAGAGAGGAAACAATAAGAGAGAGACTCTGCCTCAACAAGTTGGAAGGAGAGCGCCAACTCATGAAAGCTGTCCTTGACTGTGACACATACACCATGGCAAAGTGCACCTGTACTCAGACGCATACACACTCCAAATAAAAAGATTAAAAAAATTATTCAGCAAGTTATGAAAATATTTCACTTGAGAAAATTGTGGCTGTTTAACATTACTTTCCTTTTTTTTTTTTGGTCTTTTTGAGACAGGGTCTCCTTGTAGCCTCAGCTGGCCTGGAACTCACTATGTAGGCCAGGCTGGCCTTGAACTCACAGAGATCTGCCTGCCTTTGCCTCCCAAGTGCTGGGATTAAAGGCGTGTACCACCACACCCGGCCTATTTTCCTTTTTAAACAAATGAAAATCAGTTGTTTCAGGAATTCAAAGTCACATTCCCCTATACCTTCTGAAGCAAACATTATTATAAAAACAAGTTTATTATTTTTTAATTATGTATATATGTGTGTTTGTGCATCTGAGTGTAGTGCTCAGAGATCCCCTGAAGCTAGAATTACAGGCAACTGTAAGCCTCCTGATATGGGTTCTGGGAATTGAACTCAGGTTCTCTGAAGGAGCAGTACACGCTTTTAACTGTTGAGCCATCTCTCCAGCCCCATGAAGTAAAAACTATTTATTAAGCAGAACATTTTTGATGGTTTCCCCAGTGTATATCCCCAAAGAGAAATACTTTCCACCTCAAAGTTATAGAAAGAAATGCTGCTTGCTTTGCATTGCTCAGGGTATAAGAAATAAAAAACTGCTTTAAGTGACCACAATTTTCCACTGAGGAATCAAGCTGTGCATTTTTCCCTGGGGACGAAGAGTAGATTTTTCTTTAACCATTTAACTGCCTTTAAGCCCTAGATCTATATTAGTTTATATATTTGCATTAATGGAATGAAATGTGCTTTTTATCTTTATTCCTAACAAACAGATCTCAGCCACTTCCTGTGATGTTTCCTTGAACTAAGTTGATATCTTTTTCCCAGGAAGTTTCTCAAGTAAAAATATGAGACGAAAAACCAGAAACAAATCTTTAAATTTGAGCTGCAGTAAGATTAAACTGCTCAGAAACAAATGCTCAGGGGACATGCAATTACCAACTCAACAGCAAGTCCTAAGAGCAAATGGACTGTATCCCAACTGTGAAGAGGAAAACTCTCCCAAATGTCATTAAAAAAGCCAAATTGCCATGGCTTAAAGGTATAACAGAGCTGCCCTTTACACCTCCTGAGCATTTAATCCAAGGGTGCTTCAACTCTCCTCCTGGCTTGGGGGAGTTGTAGTGATTCTTTTATAAAAGCCATGAATCTTTTTGAAACTTCTAAAAATCTGTAACACTGAGGAAAATAGGAATCGTGTATGTAAACAGAAGTCCCTCATGTCACTTCAGAGGACCTCCAGCATGTGATTGCTGATTAGCAAATGTCTACTAAGTGAAGAAAGAAGACTACTGTTTCCAAACACCTTGGCAATCTCGTTGAGAATGTCTTGGTATTTATTTTTGGATGACACAAGTCCAGTCTGCTCCAAAGTCCGAAGATTCCTCTGGATCTTCCTCTTCTTCTGCTCAAGAGGCAAGCGTGCGTCTTCCATCATCGCTTGGCTGTGTTTCACTTCTTCTGGAGTTCTGGAGTCTATAACTGCATGGCTCTCCATGTCTTTGGTATGATCTAGTTCCTGTAAAGAGAATATCAAGATCCCCACTTTAATCTCAGTGATACAGGTTTAGGAGCTAAACAAGGCAAGTTAATACCAAAATAAAAGTTCTCAAGCTGAAGTCCAAATCTTAACACCACAATGTATTCTTCATGGCTTTGAAGTAAATCTTAGAAGGAATCACCCCCCCGCCTTTTTGGAGTAAAATAGTAGTGATAATGGGCCTAATTTGGGAAAAATTCTAAAGAGTTACTTTATTGCTAAGGTGACAAATTGCTTAGTAAGGTACACATTTTAATACAGAACCGCTGCTTTGTAATTTCCTAGTTGGAAGGATCTCAATTTTGGATAGTCCAGTTGAAGAAACTAAAAACAAATTGCATATTAAAATACGGCTTTGACAACCCATCTAAACTTGCACAAACTAGGCGTGCTAATGGAGATTGATAAGCCATCCAATGGTGAGGCAGCCAGAGAATGCATTCTGACAACGGAATCCCCCTCACTGTTTAGGAAACCTGCACAGTTCCTTTAAACCATGGGGAATAAGAATATTCCAGCATAGGATAAGTTCCTAAATCAATGAATGAATACTAACTGGGTAGTCTGTTCAAGACAGTAATAAAAGGAGACTGATGGTCTTTCCATTTCACTGCACTAGACAACTAATGCCATAGATAGAGTCTATGACATAATTGTTATTAGATAAAGCAGTGTTAGCCACAGGGCACACGGATCAATATGGTTGGCACAGTTAATTGGGTCAGCAATGAATAACAATAAAAATAGCCCGATTTAGTCTGCCAGATAGTACTGCAGCCATTTAACTTGTTTTTTCTCATTTAATAATTGCCCACGAGTTAGAAATTATTTCCATTTTACAGTTGAGACAACTGAGGCACAGATAGAGTTCTAAGTGTACACAGTTACCAGCAAGGAGGTGGCAAGCTATACTTGATCTTGGTGTTTGTGTTTTTATTCACACAGTCATGATATATTTGGGGGAAAATGAAACTAGAGCTAATTTCTTTTACATGAAATTAGTACATTTATTTATATTACTTAAAAGTATTCATGCTGGGGCTGGAGAGATGGCTCAGCAGTTAAGAGCATTGACTGCTCTTGCAGATGACCCGGGTTTGAGTCCCAGCACCCACATGGCGGCTATGAACTGTCCTTAACTCCAGTTCCAGGGGAATCCGAAGCCCTCTTCTGACCTCTGTGGCACTGCACAACATAGGTGCACTCACGTACATGCAGACAATATAAGCACAGGCATAAAATAAAAATATGTAAAAAAAATATTAAAAAAGTATTCACTCATAGTGGAGTGTGGTGGCACATGCCATTTTAGTTTTAGTACTGAGGGGGCAAAGGCAGGCAGATCTCTGTGAGATTGAGATCAGCATGGTCTACATAGCAAGTTCTAGGTCAGCTAGAGCTATATAGGGAGACCCTGTCTCAAGAAACACACACACACACACACACACACACACACACACACACAAAACAAACCAAAAACCAAAACCAAAACAATAAAACAAAAGTATTTCACACATTAACATTAACACACATTAACATCAGGTTTGAAGTTTAAAAAAAATTTTTTTTGCTGTTTTATTTTTATCTGTTTGAGTGTATTGTCTGCATGTATGTAAGTGCACCTGTATCATGCAATGCCTGCAGAGGTCAGAAGACGGAGCCAGATCCCCTGGAACTGGAGTTACAGACCGCTGTTAGCCACCATGTAGGTGCTGGGATTTGAACCCAGGCTGCAAGAGCAGTCAGTCCTCTTAACCACTGAACCATCTCTTCAGTCCTGAGAGTCTAAAGTTTTGATTTTTAAAATAATTAAATCTAGGGACACAAATACTTTTTGGCAATTCATTAAATTAAGAATAATTTAGGAAAACTAAATACTTCCATTAAAAAGCAGTCCAAGAGACTCCCAAAATTACACAGGGCATTGCCATAGGCCTTGATTGCCTCCTGGAACTTGAAGGTAAGATCCTATTGTTGAGGACAGAACATACTTCAGACACAGGATTTGGAGCAAAGGAGCTGGAAGTGACCTGAAAGCCACCTCCCCTGAAGGCTGGCTCTCATAGCCTTGGAGAGCTCTATGCAAGCTGCTAAGGGTAAACACCAATTGATGTTCCAACTCTGGCTTCAAGACCAAAGAACCACTTCGATGACCAGCACAGTATATGACATTGGTGCAGTAGTGGCACTTTTATTATGGGGCAATCAACAGCTACCTAATTGGACTAAAAGCCCACTCCATGGAAGGAAACTCATGTATAGTACTGTAAACATAGCCAAATACACATGACTGAAGAGGTCATAGATCTTAGAGAAAACCCCAAGACTGTCACATCCCTAGGCTAATGTAATTACATGCAAAATTTATGTATCCTTATATTTACAGACAAATATCCCAATCACCACTCATCAAAGAAGCTTCTTTTGCACAAGACATGTCTATTACAGAGTACCACAACTGGTCACACACATAACATTATCTGTGAATTTCACAAACCAAAGTGGCACATCTACAATGCAACCTTAGGTGTAGACCTAAGGCTCATACATAGAACAAGGAGTAAAGAGGATACTAATGAATATCTCAATTCTCACTAATGAAGCTCCCTTATACAACAGAGGACCAGGAAAACAAAAGGTCACAAATGGCCAAAGCATAGAGATTAAGAGTCTGCAGAATGCTACTCCTTGGACAGGACTCCTATATTAAACTTCACCCACCCAGGGCTCACAGACCATTGCGGAAGTGGGGGCAGAAAGATGTTAAGAGCCAGGAAGGAGGTGAGGTGCATGACCATATGGAAATAGAGTCCTAGAAGCTCCTAGGACCCTGCTCATATGAATCTATAGCAATGGTGCCAGCATGCACAAGACCCATGCAAACTCAAGCACAGAAAACCCAGCACTGGGGCAAATGGACAGTAGACCCCAATCTTAGCTGAAGAAATACTGGCAATTGATTACAGCTTGAGGAAGAGCTGATCTTCCTAAAGCGAGGGACTCTAGATAGGCTGACTAGATCTCAGTAGATGAACTTGCACTGAGGAATGCCTGGGGACACTAACTTGACACAACAGGCCTTAACACAAATGACAGAATGTATGAATTCCAGTGTCGGGGGGGCTATGGGAGGGTTCCAGTGATGAAGGGGGTATAGAGATGACCAAGATTGATTGAGGTGTTCTATATGAAATGCACAAAAATTCAATTAAAAACATTTTTTTGGTCTTTTTGAGACAGGGTCTCTCTGTAGCCCCAGCTGTCATGGAACTCACTATGTAGACCAGGCTGGCCTTGAACTCACAGAGGTCTGCCTGCCTCAGGCTTCCAAGTGCTAGGGTTAAAGGTGTGCGCCACCATGCCTGGCAATAAATTTTTTTTTAAAAAAAGTAAATGGAAAAAAGTAATTAGATAATTTTGTTAACTTGTTTAAGGAGTGACAATTATTGTTATTAAAATAACACTGATATTAATTTATTTCAGAATGAACTGAATAATGATGCATTTTATTTCTTTCCCCATTTCTTTTGAGACAGGATCTTCCTGTAGCTCCAGCTAGCCTGGAATTAACTATGTCCAGACTGCCTTTGATTTCACAGAGGTCTGCCTGCCTCTGCCTCCAAAGTGCTGCGGTTAAAGGCATGCGCCACCATGTCTGGCTTTGAAGCTTTCCTTCTTTTTTGTTGCTCCCTCCTTCCCCCGCCTTTTTTGAGACAGGGTCTAATATACCTCAGGCTAGTCTCGAACTTATGATCCTCCTGTCTCTGCCTCCCGGGTGCTGGGATTACAGGAATGTATCCCCCATGTCCAACTTTAGTGATGTATTTTAAAAGATAATGGTAGAATGTTTAATCTCAGGCTGTCATGAAACTCTAGTCATTTACATCCATGGAATGGTGCTTGGACACCACGATCTCAGACACTGACTTACTTTGGAAGTACTTGGGAGACAGCTTTAATATGAGACGTTTCTGTGCTTCTCCATGTTAGCAAATATATTAACTATGACAGGTATTTTTTACATACTGTCAACTAGAGCTTTCTCTCTGCTGACCTGTCCAGCTATCCTCTGTATGACAAAGCTTATGGTGAACATTGCAGGGCTTTGAAAGATGCAGAACTCTCTTCCTACTATAGAAGAAAATCACATCATACATTTGAGGATGCACTTTCCACTGGATTCCTCAAGTCCATGTGGCTTTTAGATATGGCTGAACTCAGTTGTCTACAATAAGAGATTTCAGACTTAGCTCTCTCAGGTAATAGTAAATATTTGGACTATAGGTTAAGAACACCAACAGCTGCCTAACATATTTTACATGCAAAGATAAATTACCTGCTGTTCAGTCGCTGGAGTCTCTAAGATTTCAGTCAATGTGTTCCCTGGCTGGTTCCGGATCACATCAATGATCAGTTTTTTGGTCCTTACAAAGGAGAAAAAGGAGAGAGATGCTCAGACAGCAGTCTTGATACACAAAAATCTGTTTCTCCCATGTGAATGCACACAGGAACTTCAAAGATAATCCCTTAAAATGAAGTGATCTTGCAAAACTTCACCAAGTCTGCTTGAAAGGTCCTGAAAGTTTTCGAACAGTTGATAAGGTCAGGGTTGTATACATTTAATACTGTAGGATTATTCTTGGACACAAATTATTAACATGGACACAAATATGCCATAAGAGTCCTCACTGAAATACTTCTTTTTCCATTTGAGGTTGAGAATTTTTTTTTTTTTTGTCTTTTTGAGACAGGGTTTCCCTGTAGCCCCAGATGGCCTGGCCCTCACTGCGTAGACCAGGCTGGGTTCAAACTCACAGAGATCAGCCTGCCTCTGCCTCTCAAGTGTTGGGATTAAAGGCATGCACCACCATGCCCAGCTTGAGATTGAGATTCTTTTTGAAGGGCAGCAGGAACAAGTGCTGCCAATCTGATCTGCTGCTATAGAGGAAACAGAAAGATATCTAATAACCTTTTTCCTGACGTCAGTAACGTTGAAAACTCTGTGCCTGTTAATATAAGTCTTTAGGAGCCAGACCAGCTGCTACCTTTTCTGCATTGAGAAAAGTGTAAGACAGTGAGTGGGAAGGCCCATGGAAGCAGAGGTTCCCTGTGGCCTTGGACACTGAACACCGAATCCAGGAGGCTGGGAGTCGAAGGACACAAGGAATTAGCGGACAGGGATGCATCCTTATCTTCAGGGAGCTGAGGACAGAACTGCTCTAGACAAGATCAAGGCTGGCAAACCCCTCTGGAGGTGCTGAACTCATGCTATTTAGCAACTGGCCCACCTTTTAATTAGGGATCAGGTTATGTAATTACATAAAAGGTAGGGGCTAGGCATATATCTCAGTGGTAGAGCATGTGAGGCCCTAAATTCAAACCCCCTGTACAACAAAAATAAAAGAGCAACCAAAAATCCCATAAAAGGTAGATGTTCAAATTCGCTCACTGTTGCATAGGGTGGGAGTCTATTATTGGAAATGGCCTCCCTTCCAAAGGACAGAAACATCAACAGAAGTTGCCTTAAACTACAAACAGGTCAGGTCTGCAGTTTCATTTTTAGCATAGCCCTGTTACTGTATTGAATTTCAGCTCTGTCAAAAGAGAGAATGAATTTCTTCATTAACAACAGCCAGAAATGTTCACACAGCATGAAACTGGAAATGAAAATAAAATATTCATAGTCTGACGCATAGGGCAGCTGCTCCCGTGCAACCCCTCCAAGTTAACCCCAAATATGAGACTTTACAAATGGGACAAATTCCAATAAGTCATTTGCGGACATGTTTTTTTTGTTTTTTCTCCCCACCTCATTTCCTATTTATCTCACGTCTGCACAAGAAGAGCGATCACAACACAGCTTCCTTTCCTCCCCTCTCTCTGGCCTCCTGAGAGCCACTTCCTCTGGCCCTGTGACCCTTCACTCCTGGGGATTTTCAAGGCTGTCTGGGAATGTACAGCTAAAGACTCTAGGGAGTCAAAGGTGGGCACACAGCTAATTATAGCCATGTGGGAGATGGTGCAGCTCCTGAGGTGACCATGGCTCAGAAAGCTGTGTGTCCCTCCATATACATCGCCTTCTTCCAGTCATTATCAGAAATGAATTAGAAATATTATTATTATTATTATTTTGAGATAGAGTATTACTATGTAGCCTAGGCTGACCACAAACTTGAGATCCTCCTGCCTTAACCTCCTAACTGCTTGGATTAAAGACCTGCCCCACCATGCCTTTTGCTGAGTTAAAAATAAGAGTTTTAGGTGACACAAAAAATGTCAACAGTGGTTAAGAGCACTGACTGCTCTTGCAGAGGACCTAGTTTGGAATCCCAGCACCCATATGGTGGCTAACGATGGTCTGTAACTCCAGTTTCAGGAGGATTTGATGCCCTTTTCTGACCTCCATGGGCATTGCATGACATGGGTGCACTTACATACATGTAGGCAATATACTCATACACATAAAATTTTAAAAAGCCAGCAGTGAGAGATTCTTATTTGAGTTTTTTGTTTGTTTGTTTCCTGAGACAGGGTCTCCCTGTAGTACCAGCTGACCTGGAACTCACTACAGAGACCAGGCTGGCCTTGAACTCACAGAGATCCTCCAGCCTCTGCCTCCTGAGTACTGGGATTAAAGGTGTGCAATACCACATTGAACTGAAAATATTTTTGCTATATTGGGTTAGACAGGATATATTATTAGAAATAATTTCAGACCCTAACAGAAAGAAGTGATGTGTGTGAGGTGACTACCCCACCAGTTACCCAGATCTGACCACTGCACAACACGTCTGTGTATTGAAATGCCACAACTACACTCCATAACAATATGCAATGACCATGTGTCAAGTTAAAAGTTCATACAATGAACTTCTCACTGGGAAAGTGAAAAACAAGAAAAATTGTACCTGTTTCTTCCTAGAATGTGGCTTTTAGAACTGGAATTTCCATGTATGGGCCCTATTACATTTTTTTTTTTTTTTTTGGAAAGTGCAATAGTAGAACATTCCATTCTTCAGCAGGAAGTCACTAGTCTGAGAGGCCCACTCCCTGGACTTAGTCAGTCATAGGACTTCAGCACCAAGGGGACTTGGGGGAAACAGCCGACTGTCTGACACGAATGGGGCAACAAAGACCTCAGAGGCTTGATGGGTAGACAAAGATCTCACACTAGTTTCCAGCATTGTAGAAAACAAGGCAAGCTGCTGTTCTGCATCTTCCTCAGCCCCTCACAACACTGTAGAGAGGCACTTGCTCTGTGTCCTACAAGCCCCGTTTGTGCTGTGGATCAAACTTGCACATTCTAGCACATTCTCTAACACCCTAAGTCTCCATTCCTTTTTCCAGAAAAGCCCCCTAGGTCTTTAAACCTCCATAGAGCAACATCTGCAGAGAGTTCAGAGTTTGGCTCACATTTCAGTTGCCTTTTTAACAGGTGTCTCCTCTTCACCCTGGGCAAACATTACTTTCTAGACCTATCTGAGCAGCATATTGTTATCAACCTGTAGAGTGCTGGGCCCATGACTGTTCAAACAATCTGTAAGACAGGCTGATCCCAAATTGGATGAAGAGGCCTCTAACTCTGGGAAAGAATTACCAAAGAATAATGAAACACAACAGGGAAATTCATCCGAACTCTGCTCACATCCCTCTATGAGGACACACAGATCTTAAAGTTGGTGTGGTCTCTGGGGCTTGGTCACTCCACCCATGGCTCTGGTCTCTCCTCCCTGTGTACTCAAGGCTGAAGAGGAACTGGTGCTTGTGGAAGCTCAGAAAGACTTCTTGTTGTTTAATATTCCAGTAACATTAGAACACTTTTTTTTTTTTGCAGCAGCCTTCAAACATCACCTCAGACACTGTGTGCTCCTGCCAGGGTGAATCAAAAACAAGGACACACTTCTAGTAGGATAATGTACATTTAGACTGAATCATGTTGAAGGAGAAAAATTCTAAAGAGATGACATCTTAAGCGCTCAAGCAGCTAAGTATGATTGAAAACCACAAATATTGCCTTGACTTACACACATACTTTTGTGGAAAAGCAAGTTGAATAAAGGCCACAAAGTCACATATTTTAAGATGAATCATAAGCTATAATGAGGGAGACTTATGGTCATATTGTTCTTCATAATTTATAAGCCATGAATGCATGATTTAATGGGATGGACTCAGCCCTCTCCCACGTCCCCATTTTTTTATGAAGACAATGCTGATTGGACACCTTGCTGAGTCTGTGACTAAGTGACACTTTGGGGTGCTCATCTTTGTCAGTCTAGGGCTCTTCCACAGCAGGCTTTCATAATACCACCATGCTTGGAAGCACTAAGGAAATGGCAATAGCTCAGATAAAAGTTCTGTGTTCCACAAGAATCCATGTTTCTTCCTACTCCAGTGAAGGTCCTTTGTGCCCCTCACACCCATCAGTCACTCCCTTTCGGTGCAGCGAGATGCAGCAGCATTAGTCACAGCCCTACTGGATTCTGTTCCATTGATCTATGCCTTTAAAAATTTTTTTTTTAATTGAAAAAAAATTCTCTTCTTTACTCTAGGGTTGCAAAGGCCTTGACCTCAAGTATTGTGAAACTTTGTAATCAACAGCATAGGCCCTGGAGGACTTCAAACCAACTGGGTTTCAGTCTCTGTTCCAGTAACTAGTATATTGCCCAGGAAAAAGTTTACATCTGTTTACATCTGTCTTGATCTTATTGTCTTCATCTATGAAATTCTGATGGGAACTTCCACCCCTACAAGGTTCCTAAGAGTATTATATACATATGCATCTATATCTATATTTATAGATATAGATATACATATCTATCTGTATATATTTATACGTAATATACACATGGCCTTCTCCCTCTCTTTCCCCCTCTCTCCCTTCTGTGGGTTTTTTTCTTTCTTAATAATGTCTTTTTAAAAATTTTTATTTTTGAGACAGAAACAAGAGATCCCTATGTAGTCCTGGCTGGCCTGCTTAGATCAGGCTGGCCTCAAACTCAGAGAGATCTACCTGCCTCTGCCTACTAAGTGTTGGGATTAAAGGTGTGTGCCATCATACCTGGCAATAGTAATGCCCTTTTCGACACAAAACTTTATATAAAAATGTAAAATAATCCACAGAAAAACAAGAAAAATTGCAAATCATATATCTGAAAATATGGATTTGCAAAGAAATCTTTCAACCCAGGAACAGCAACAACTTCAGTTTAAAACTAGGTGAAAGTCCTATAAGTCTCCCGTACTGGGAACTGAACTCAGTGCCACACGCACCTTAGCCGAGCACTCTACCACTGAGCTCTATCCTCAGCCCTTAAAAATGGGTGAAGGAGTTGACTGGACCTTTCTTACCATGGAGATATGCAACTAGTCAATAAACACATTAAGAGTTGTTCAACATCACTAATGAACAGGGAATCACAAATCAAAACTGGAGCACACACTCTGCTACACTCACTGGGATGGCTAGTGAGAAAACGGAGGGGGTGGGGTGGGGGTGGGGATTAAGAATGTGGAAAAAGGTGGAACCCCTATTGTTTGTGGGGGAACGTGGAGTGGTGTGGCCACCGTGGAAAATATTTTGGTGGTTTCGTCTAAATACCATACAGAGAATTAACATGTAACCCAGCAATTCCATGCTTGGGCATATAATCAGAAGTAAAAACCTGTATATGAACATACATAACAGCACTATTCACAATAGCTAAAAGGTAGAAACAACTCAAATGTCTGTTAAGAAATGAATCAGTAAACAAATGGTATATCCATACAGTGAAATATTATTCAGATATAAAAAGAAATGAAGTATTAATTCATGCTCCAACACGGAAGCATCTTTAAAATGCTACAGTGAATAAAAGAAGTCAGGCACAGAAGGCCACATATTACATGACCTCATTTATACAGAATATCCAGAAGTTAAGAGACAGAAAGCAGACTAGTGGTTAGCAGGGAGCAAGGGCAAACAGGACTATACTCTGGGGATGATCAAACTGTTCTAGATCTAGGTAGTGGTGATGGCTGTATAATACTGTGAATATGGAGCTGGAGAGATGGCTCAGCAGTTAGGAGCACTGGCTGCCCTTACAGAGGACTTGGGTTTGATTCCCAGCACCACATGATGGCTAACAACCCACTGTAACAACCCACTGCCCTCTTCTATATGTATATGGTAAATACATGCAGGCAAAATACTCATACACATAAAATATACATAAATAAAAAAATACTCTGAATATCCTAAAATGTCACTGAATCATACATTTTATGTTTTGCTTTTTGAGATGGGGTCTCCCTGCAGCTTCAGCTGTCATGGAACTCACTATGTAAACCAGGCAGGCCTTGATCTCACAGACATCTGCCTGCCTCTGCTTCCTGAGTGCTGGGGTTAAAGGTGTGCGCCACTACGCCTGGGGAATTGTGTATTTTTAAATGGTTAAAGTAATAAATTTTATGCTACCCATGTTTCGCCAAAATAGAAAGAAAGAAAAGTACATGGTATGGAGACAGTGTACTGGCAGCGTGCCTGGGGGAGCTGAGGCTCCGCAGCATGGCACAGGCTGGTTAAGGGGGCAGGATGGCGCACCAGGCTTCCAGGCCTAGACGCATTACTTCCCAACATGCCTGACTTTTATGGTTTGGATTGTAAAATGCGAATTCCAAGAATCTGCCAACCGTGGAGACTCCTGTTTAGCAATCAGCACACATGTGTGATATTCCATTGGTTTCATGCTTTAGACGGACTCACATAGTGACTCTCATTCATTCCTGGAGACATTAGCATTGACAGCACTGAGGAGATCGAATTCAAACAACAGACAAAACCAATTAAAAGAACCTCTCTTCCCATTACTTCGAAAGACAAAGCTTATCCTGGGAGACTTGGTCTAATTTCATTTGCATGGCTGAACCACCATCTGTGTTTCCAGTTATCTTGGTAACTGGCCATTGTTCAGAGGAAGTCAGGGTGCATACTTCACTGTTTCCTCCTTTTCTTCCTGCTCTGCTTTTAGCTGTCTTCCAGAAAGTTCAATCTAACTTGGTCATGGGTTGCACAGAGCTGCACTGGGCCTTGTGGGGCCAAGGTTGTGGCTTTGTCCTGCAGCTGGGCTGGGCTCTGGGGACACACTGCACCTTCCTCTGCTAGCCTAAAGATGTCACACCCTGGGAGGAAGAAGTGGTGCTGGCCTGCTCCCGGAGGGGGGGGGCAAGCCCCAAGTCACCCAGAGGGTTCCTCAAGTAAATGAATGACACCTTCCATGATCTGAGAACCGAATAAACAGGGACCATAGAAGCAGCACAGATCCCAAGATGGCACACCCAGAAAGCTCTTTGTGGTGTATACAAGAATGGCTGAGTATATGGGAAAAATCAAGTGCAGAAGATGTTTTCTGGAGCATATCAGTGCTGGGACTTTTATCTCAAATGCAAACACCAGCAGCCAGGACACAGAGCTCAGAGGAAGTGCATGAAAGGCCATTCTAATGCATGCTTATTCCTGTGTCTCCTTTCTCTTTCCCAGCATAGAACTCATCTCACCATACAGCTGTTCTGATATGTTGATATTCATTCTTCATTTACATAAGGGCTTGAAAACTGTACTATTGGGTGAGTGTGTACTTCTAATATATTGTATTGGATTGGAATCTGTCTTAGTTTCAGGAGGCAGAAGCAGGTGGATTTCTGTGGGTTCAAGGCTAGATAAGAATTCATAGTGAGACCCTGTCTAAAAACAACAAAAATAAAAAAAGAAAGGCCAATAAATCTAGTAATAGTCTATCATGTGTGGGTCTTTTTACATGGTTTTATACCAGATATAAAATTAGATTAAAGATGTTTCCTTGCTAATCTCTCAACCTCTCTGAAACAGATACCCTGAGTTAATCACTTTATTCCTTAAAGAAGTCAAACTCAATATATAAAACTAAAAACTAAGGCAGACTTTACCAGCTATAATATTGACTTTCCTCCTAAAGTATAAAGAATGTTATATATCCTCTGCTTTTAAAGATATATACAATGTATTTCAATATTCACCTACTTTTATTTTTTATAATTATTTTAAAAATGTGTTGCCTGCATGCATGTAAGTGCCCCCTTGCTGTGCAGTACCTGCAGAAGTCAGAAGAGGGCATTGGGTCCCCTGAAACTGGAGTTACAGATGGCTGTTAGCTGCCATGTGGGTGCTAGGAACTGAATCTGGGTCCTCTGGAAGACCAGTCAGTGCCCTTAACCATTGGGCCATCTCTCCAGCCCCATACTTTTAAAGGAATATCTGAGACTTACTTAGCCTTCCTTGAGTCTACGTGGTCTGGAACATGCTACTGGAGACCTGTACCTTTAGCTCCAGACTTACTTTATCATGAGACTTCGGCCATCGACAGCTTCACCATCTTCTATGTTGTATTTGCTGGTCAAGTAAAGAGAAATCTCAGTCTTTGAGAGTTGATTTAGTGTGTTTTCCTTATTAGGGTCATTGGGATCAACTGCTCCTTCCCCTGTATGAGAAAAACAACAGTGTTTTGTTTTTCCAGTTCAGTCCTATGCTGACTGCCTCATACTGTAAGATAGGGTCTGGGGGTAGAGGACAGGCTCAGTAATTAGATGGGAGATTTATGGTCACCATAAAACCTGCATATTCTACTTCATCTGGAATGGATTTTGAAGCATTTCACTCTAATATTATAACAACACGGGGCATAAATATTCACATATGAACAAATTTTAAAAAAAGAACTGTTAGTAAAACATAGTAAAGGACTTTGTCATTTCTGGACAAACTCAGTCCTTCATGTTTTCTTTCTTTGTGAAACAGACTGGTAAGTCCTTTTTGATGAGCTTGTCTTCATGAAAATTAAATTGTTTTATAATAATCCAGGATGCAATGAATTACAGAATTTTGCAGGGAGAGTGGGTTCTGGAGGTTGAACCCAGAACCTTGAACATGCTAAGCAGATGCTTCTCTACTGAGCAACACCCTAGCCTGAGTTACTGAATTCTTTTGATTATTTAAAGATTTTTTTCTTTTCTTTATTTTTTGTCTTTTTGAGACAGGGTCTCCCTGTGGCCCCAGCTGGCCTGGAACTTGCTATGTAGGCCAGACTGGCCTCAAACTCACAGAGATCCACCTGCCTCTGCCTCCCAAGTGCTGGGATTAAAGGCATGCACCACCACGCCCGGCTTAAAGATTTTTTTAAATTATATTTTTTATGTGTATGAGTGTGTTTCCTGCATGTATATAAGTGCATCCATGTTGTACAATGCCCATGGAGGTCAAAAGAAGGTATTGGATCCCCTGGAACTGGAGTTATGGACAATTGTTAGCTACCATGTGGGTGCTGGGAATCAAACCCAGCTCCTCTGCAAGAGCTGCCAGTGTTCTTAACCACTGAACCACCTCTCCAGTCCCTAAGTTAAAGATTTCTTTACGTGTATGTATGTGTGTCTGTCACTGTGTGAGTGTGTGCCATGTGTGTGGGTGTCCGAGGGGGCCAGAAGAGAGCACTAGATCCACCAGAGCTGGAATTACAGGTGGTTGTGAGCTGCCCTATATGGGTGCTGGGAACTGAACTCAGGTCCTCTGGAAGAGCAGCAAGTGCTCTTAAGTGTTGAGCCATCTCTCTAGCCCCCCAAGCTATAGAATTCTTATTGCAAGAAGAGACAAAGGTAGTTATTACCCTTTAAATAAACAAATAAAAAATTATCAAATTCCAAAATAAGAAGAAAGAATGAGAAAACTAAACAATGGCTCCAAAAGAACAAAAGGGAGGATTAGGGGGAAGAAGCTCTTACCAAGAAAGGACTCCACCATAGGCACCTCCCCCAGCGACTCCAGTAGCTCATTGAGTGGGTCACTTTTTTCAGTGGCAATGGCATCCTGATGTTCCAGCAGGAGCTGTACACAGCAAGCAATAAACATGCAGAGGCAGAAGTCAGTCCCACGGCTGCCCAGACTTACAGCTTCCCCTCCTAGTTTTTCGACATTCTCTCCTACTAATGTTTACATCTTAATACAAATCTGACAGTTATTAAAATTGTAGACACAGATATGGCTTTAACTTTATCTCAGAGAGAAATGTCTATTGCACATCAAGGCTGTAGCAAAGGCTAGGGATATAGCTCAGTTGGCAGGATGCTGTGTAGGAAGCCCTAGGGTTGATCCCAGCACTACATTAACTGGGTGTGGTGACACACGCCTGTAATTCCAGCACTGGGGATGTGGAGGCAAGCAGATCAGAAAGGATCATAAGTTCAAGGTCATCCTCAGGAATATAGAGAGCTGGAGGCCAGCCCAGGCAACATGAAACCCTCTTAAAAAAAGAAAAGAAACGACAAACTATATTGAGAAAGGTGTACCTAAACCCCCTTTCCGCTAAATTTTGCCTTTTATTCCTAATTGTGTTCTCCACAACCACCACAGGAAATAGGGGGAAAAGATGCTAAAATGATATAGAAGTTCTTACCAAACACTGGCAATAAACTGGGAAGGTATTTTCATGTCTGTCTGCACAAATTATGCAGCAAGCACTACATACCTATGTGTGTGTATGTGTAGGCCAGAGGAAACCTTGGATATTATTTCTCAGATATCACTTTTTTTTTGAGACAGAGTTTCTCATGGGCCTGGACCTTACCAACTAGGCTAGGCTAGTTGGCCAGAGAGCCCCAGGACTCTGCCTTTCCAGTACTGGGATTGCAGTAGGATGTGTTGGATTGCTTCAGTTGTCATCTTGACCACCTGGGAAGAGGGAACCTTGGGAAATTACCTCTATTGGATTGGCCTGTGAGGCATTTTCTTGATTGTTGAATGATGTGGGAGGGCCCAGCCCACTATGGGTGGTGCCCTGGGTTATATAGGAAAGCAGGCTGAACACAGGCCAGAGGAGCAAGCTAGTAAATAGCATTCCTCCAGGGTCTTTGATTCAGCTTTTCCCTCTAGGACCCTGCTTTGAGTTTCTGTCCTGGCTTCCCTCACTGATGAACTGTGATCTGGTTGTGTAAGCCAAATAAACCCTTTCCTCCCTAAGTTGGATTTTATTACAATAATAGAAAGCAAACTAAGACAGGGTACCACCATGTCCAGCTTTTTTTTCTTTTTTTTTTTTTTTAAATATGGGTCTTGGGGATCAAGTTCAGGCCCCACTGATCTATCTCACCAGCTCCATTTTTTCTTAAAAGAAAAATTATTATTAATTATTTTTCTAGTCACATAACATTAAGGATCTTTCAAGGCAAGGAGCACAACAATGGCCATTACGGTTCTTAGCCTGACACCTCAGAGCTCACAAAGACTGATTGACAGGGGCTGGGAGTCTTTGCTGGTCTTACAGGAAATACTGTTGTCTGTGAGGCGGCATCACTGGAGGGTTGGAGGGGAAAACCAGCAAGGACAACACATCTGTTTTTGTTTGCATGTCTAAGTTGAAACAGTGTTTCTAGATGACTGGTACCCTTGGGGACAGGAGATAAAAATGTTGCTGTTTTGAGAAAGTAGCTCATAAAGTTGCTAATCCTAACCATAAAGCTGTTCCCTCTTCCATTTTCAACATTGTTCTAACAACTTTCCTGAGATATAATTCCTAACCACCAAAAGAGTCATTTAAAATATGTGATGTCTGTTTAGTCTATTCAGAGTTGAACAGGCCTCACCACTGTTAAGGTTCATTGATATTACACTATGTTTCAGAATTTTCTTCCTTTCTAAAAGCCAAAGAATACTACCCCCACCCCACCTTTTGTTTTGTTTTGTTTTGTTGACAGAGTTTCACTATGGAGCTCAGAGCTCAGGCTGGCATGGAATTCTCAGTATTCAGAGAACAGGGATTCCAGATGTGTGGTACTTCTTGCTGTACTGCATTTCATTTGTTCACTTACTGATAGAAACTTGACTACTGGAATGTTGCTGTGAACATGGATGCAGAGATGCCTCTTCAACCTTGCTTTCAATTCTTTGGGTGCATGTGGTGATTACTATGCAATGCCACATTACAGTTATGCCTGAATTAAAAACAGTCTCAACTCTTAACATCCATTTTAAGGCCAAAAACAGACTCAAAAACCTAAGAGCCTGTTCCTTCAGATTTCTCTTGGAACTGTGCTCTTGAACAAGGGCTTACTCATTCTTTTATTGAAACAGTATCTCTAGCATGAAATCGGGAAGTAAAAATCAAGGCCCTATCAGAGAAGAATTTTACTCTTTCTGATCTCTACAGACCTGGACCAGCACTCATACAATCACAAACAGATGTTATCAACTTAATCCCATCTAGTCTTTGAAACACAAATGGGATAATCTCCATATTTTTCTGTTGTTTCCAATATCCTGAGCTGTTTACAGTGCTTTCTTGAATACATGAAATGTTCACACATATATTCACACATTGCTTTTGGGTCAAGGGCAAAGAAGGAATTAAAGCTATATGCTTTAGGTTTCAAGAGGAGCTCAGGGCTCAGTGAGCTTGTCTACATTATAAACAAGCTAAGATGAAGTTAACCTTTTCATTGCAGGTGGTTCTTGGAATTCAGGTCCACCCACTTTTGGCCTTAAAATTAATGCTAAGAGCCAGCTCCTTCTTTATTCTGTGTAATGTGGCTTCTTTACAAGTGTAATGTGGCTTAGAAATGCCCGAGTTGGCCATGTACTTTCATAATGGTTGTTCTTTTTCAAATCGGATGATTTATCTTTTTTAATCACTGAGAGTTGTTTTGCCTGCTTGTAAGGGCACCATGTGCATGCACACCTATTAAGGGCGGGAGGTGGTGCTGGATACTGCACCTGGGTATTTTGTAAGAGCAGTCAGTGTTTTTTGTTTTGTTGGTGTTTTAGGCAGGGTCTCCCTGCAGCCCCAGCTGCCAACTTGCTACATAGACCAGGCTGGCCCTGATTTCACGGAGATGTACCTGTTTCTGCCTCTTGAGTGCTGGGATTAAAGACTTTGACCACCATACCCAGTCAGCCAGCTCTTAACTGCTGAGCTATCTCTCCACTATTGGCACTATTTACAACATAAAAACGTGGTGCTCATTTCTTTTTGCTACTTGTGTAAATATTTAATGTCATTATCTAGAAAATCACAGCTTACTCCAGGGTCATTGAAGATTTACTACTTTCAGTTCAAGAATTTAATAGCTTTCACTTTTACATTTAAGCCTGTGATCCACTTGGAAAGGGAACCATCTCAAAATGGATTTAGACAGGGTCTCAGGTAGTTCAGACTGACTTTGAACTTGGTATGTAGCCAAGGATGACTTTCAACTTATCACCCGCCCCCCCCGCCGCCCCTCCACTTTCCAGAGCATTAAGGTTGTAGGCGTGCATCTGCCAAACTCCAGTTGGGCAATGCTGGAGACTGAAGCCAGAGCTCCCTGCATGCTAGGCAAGCACTCTACCAACTGAGGTTCATCTTCAGCTCCATTCTGCTTATTTTCTTAAGTTTCTGTTTATAGTTTTTCATGCTAGACATACTTTGTTTTAAAACAAAGAAATATGCATTGCTGTTTTAAAGGTCAGTGGATTCATAGAAAGGAATTAACTAAATAACAGGTGATATAAAGACAGACCGTAGACTCTGGAAGTATGTTTTTGTGTGTCCTGGGGAGTTAGAGACAAGAGGAAACCCACAGGGTGTTGACTTCTATTCTGGTCTCTTCAGAGACAGGCCAGCTGATCTGGCTGCTGTCTCTGGAAATGGAGGATTTATTGTTGGTAGCCAGCATCTACCCTTTATCCTGCCAACTACAGAATGTAAATCATTTCCTGAAAAGGTCTTCCTAAAGAGCTGATGCTGAAGTTGTTTCTCAGAGATGGAAGGAACAAGCACACAGCCACAGGCTGTGTTGTGTCTGCCCCATGACGCCTCCACACTTGGCCGGCAGACAGGACAAACTCTGTGCTGTGACGTACTGTCCCGTTACATCTGTTCCCAATCCAGGGCATGAAGCCACTCCAAGACAGTCACAAGCTCTGCTCTAAGCACTACACTCTGTTTTTAATTCTTGTTAGAACAGGGGTGAACTATTTCTTCGTAAAGCCTAGCAGTCCAAATGAATACAGTAACATTCTCTCTCTGCCACCCATGAGAAAGAACCTCTCGCTTTCAAAGGGAGCTTTCCTCTACCTTTGCATGGGGATATTCTTCTGAGCAAGCATGTGACTAGGATGACCATATTTGAGATGGCCAATGTGCCATCAAAGCAGTCAAATGGGTCAGCACGCAGGTGTGTATGAGTTTATTGCCCATTATAAAGTTATTTTTGAACAGCTTTCCTAGTAAGCCAGGGGACCTAGAGAAAAGTGGGGTGACTGATTCACTTAATCAGTACTTACTGAGAACTTGTAGCAAATGTCAGAGAAGTTTCAACCTTGAAAGAGAAAAGTCAGAACTGGGTCCCATCTGTCCTCCAACCACATCCAAGCTGTTGAAGAGCTTGATAATAAAGGCTGGACTATCAGGCAGCCAATTTGACACTTGCAAGTCTGGCTGCTTTGAGATGCCAGGGGTATGACTTCTGAGAGGTGGGCATTTGTGATGCTTTCTCCTTAGGCATCAGTACAATCCATACTTGGATGTAATCTTAACTGATGTCTCTCGATTTCTAGAACTTTCCTATGGATCTGAATTCCTTAGGATCTTGTCAGAATGCAGGTTCAGATCTGGGAGGTCTGAGGTACATTTCTAATTGATTCTCAGGACCCTGTTTGAGTAGCATGGTTTGAAACTGTTCTTGAAAAAGTTAACCTTTTCAAAACCTAATTCCAAGTGGGGTGTGATGAATTGTGTCTGTAATGCCACCACTTGGGAAGCTGAGGAAGGAGGACTGCAGTGAGTTTGAGGGTAGTCTGAATTGCCTAGTGATTTCAGTTCAGAACTTGGGCCACAGAGTGAGGTCTTGACTCAAAACCCATAAGTAAATGTTCCAACAAAATTAGGTAATGGTATGATATGATGTGTCGGTACACACCTGAGATCCCTGCACTCAGGAGGTGGAGGCACAAAGATATTGGGTTCGAGGCCAGACTGAGCTACCTCGTGAGACTCTACCTTGAAAAAAGAAAGCAAAACACAACCAAAACAATAATAAAAACCCCACAAAACAAAAACATACTTGCAATTAATTGTACTTAAAAATAAACTAAGTCCCAATTAGTGCTAAACCATGCAACTCTCAATGCTTGACTTCTCTTCATTTGAAATGACTACAAAGCCACCCAATGCTTCCTGGTTCCTTCCTACTGTCACTGTGGAGTGCTGATTGCTGACTGTGGTGATGTTTGCATGAGAACCTGACAAAGATACCACGACACCACGCAGACTGAACTTCTAAGCAATGGGGTGGGTTTTGGAACAATGGCAGTGAGTCCCCACAGGAGGAGGGTCCTTATCTGCCCCCAGCAGCCATTTCCCACCTCTTTCTCTGTCTAAACACTACTTCCCTTCCAGTCTTTTGGTTAAGATCAAGTATGTCCAGGCATCAGAATAGGGAGAACAGTCTCACTTCCCCAGATAATGGCTGGGCAGGTACTCCTGGATTATATAAAAAAAGCAGGCTGAGCACAGGCCAGGGGACCAAGGCAGTAAGCAATGGTCTTCCCTGGTTCCTGCTTCAGTTCCTGCCTGCCCTGACTTCCCTAGATGATGGCCTATGACCTGTAAGCTGGAAGCTGAAATAAACCCTTTCTTCCCTAAGTTGTTCTTGGTCAGTGTTTTATCACAGCAACAGAGAAGCAGATTAGGACAGAAGTCCAGATTTGGTTTGCCAGTCTCTAACATAGAAGAGAAAAACTCAGCAAAATCTCATAATGAAAGATCACGGAGAGGGGCAGAAATAGGTGTTGAGCTCTGGTCAGGGAGGGAAACCCAGGGATTGCACCTGTCCAGGGCTTAAGCCGTGCACTTACCATCTGGCATTGCAAAAGAGATCAACAATGTCAAAAGGAAACTGTCTTGTTTGGGAAGAAGAGAGGGGGAAGTACTAGAGGGACTTACTCGTATTAACAATATAAGCACAAGCCCAGGCTATTGCAAGTCCTGCAGGGAATAGGCATTTTCAGGTGAGAAGATGTCTGAACCTTGCTCTGGGGCCAAGACCCCTTCTTCACCCCACTTACTGAATGCGTGCTGATGATTTCTTCGATTGAAATATAAATGACTGGCTTGCTGACGGTCACCAAATCTGTGTATTTGTCCATATTAAACTTCTCTTCTGGTTCATGGACATTACATGCTTCTTTGAAATACTTCCTAAAAGCATAGAAAATGTAGCATTACATAGAGTCAAATTTGTAAGTGGTAGAGCTTCACTAAGTCAAGGGTTTCTGACTTAGTTCTCCAGCACTAACCCTGAGGCACTTGGTATAGCTTCTTCCAGGTTGCTTCCTCACTGTGGGGGTTTGTTCATGTTTTTGGAGGACCTGGCTTCTCAGTCAAATTCTCAAACAGAATCAGAGAGCAGTGTGGGCCTTGGCCCTGTGACCCAGTGTGATCCAATTATGGGCAGGCCTTCTTAATGATTTGAAAAGCAGTCACTGAAAATTTTAAAAATGTTTTTTATTTTTTTGTGTGTATGAGTGTATTGCCTGCATGTATGTAAGTGCACCCATGTCATGAATGCCCACGAAGGTCAGAAGAGAGTGTTGGATTTTTCTGGAACTGGAGTTATGAATGGTTGTTAGCTGCCATGTGGGTGCTGGGAATTGAACCCAGGTTCTCTGCAAGAACAGCCAGTGCTCTTAACTGCTAAGCCATCTCTCCAGCCCCCAGCAGTCACTGAAATTTTAATGGAAAGGTTATGACTAAGAATTCCTTGAGTTGGGGAGATAGCTCAGTGAGCAGTGCTTGCTGTAGGGATTGCGCACCTGAGTCTGTATCTCAAGCACACATATAAAAAAAGGACCCCAACAAAACACACAAACAAAAATCCTGGGCCTGTTGACATGTGTCTGAAACCCCACCGCTAGGGAAGAAGAAGAGACAGTCAGATCCTGGGAGTTCACTGGCTAGCTTAGTCTAGTCAGTATGATGAGCTCCAGGTTCAGTGAGAGACCATGGCTCAAAAAATAAAGTGGAAGGTGATAGAGGAAGTCATCCAACATCAACCTTTTTCCTTCACATGCACTTGCACACTCATGCACACAAACACCTCTCACCCCCCGACCACATACACACGCTTAATGCATATATAAACATAAACAAAAGAATTCCTTTTTATCTGTATGTGCTGAAGACTGAACTCAGGACTTTGCACATGCTAAGCAAATGCTCTACCAGTGAGTTACATCCCCAGCCCCAAGACAATTATTATTATTATTATTATTTTGCTTTTGAGGCAGGGCCTCCCTTACATAGCTCTGGCTGGCCCCAAATTCTCTATGTAGATTAGGGTGGCCTCAAACTCAGAGATCCACATGCCTCTGCCTCCTGAGTGCTGGGATTAAAGGTGTGTATCATGCCCAGCTTTCAAGACAAATAATTCTTGATCTGAGAATAGTCTTTCGGAAGATATAACTCCCCAAACAATCCAGCAAATCTGCTACCTTAAATGACACAGCTCCTGATTCTAAACCTCCCTAAGCACTCTTCAAAGCTTCTGTTATCAGTTTGAAAAAAATGGTAGTTGAGCATCCCTTTTCTTCAGTAGATCTAGGCAGTAGTGGCTGGCTGATGAAGACTGTTTTGTTTACACACACAAATATGTAAGATACCCCAGTACCCAGGCCCTAAGAAGTCTATTTTAAACTATAACTAATGTAGACAGAGAGCTAAAGAAAAGCCAACTAATGCAGCTAATGTAGACAGAGAGCTAAAGAAAAGAACTGTAATTACAGTTTAGATGTCCTTGGTAGTTTCTGCCCAAGTGACCTTTGCACAAATGGACTATATATATGGTTTATTCCACATAGTTGCATGTGTTTCATGTGACTGAAATCATCCTTGATAGGTTTCCTAAGGGCACTCAAGGATTATGAGGAACTGGCCTCTCCCTCCCCAACCCTAGGCTGGGGGAGGCAGTCATGTTGGGGAGAGTATGCTCCCACATGATAGTAGGTCTTCCTGTGAGGTTTGCTTATAGTTTTTCATGGAGTCCTGAGAAACTCAGAGAATAAACATGAGTGGAAGAGAAAAATGGTACATTTAAGAGGAGGTGAGGGGAAGGTTTTGGTTTTGTTTCTCTTTAAATAAAGATCAAGGAGAACAGGTGGTTGAAAGGGATAATTTAAAACAAAAAGGAAGGAAAGGGAGGGTCTCATCACATTTAAGAGTTTGTGAGGAATATGACAAAGATATTTCAGTTAGAAGTCAGCTTGGCAGCTGGAGAAATCAGAACTTGCTGTAGCAAGAGGATTTGAGGTGCCTTTCTCTTAAGTGGCGACAAATCCCACACTGAGATGATGATCATGAAGTAGCTCTGGGAGATATGTCACAAACCCAAAGGAAACTCACGAATGGGAAATTTCTTTCCAAGCAAGGATGAAAGGGGCCAGATTGACGTCACATATAAACTTTACAATCTACTGCAGACAAGAGAACAAACAAAAGCCAAGATGGAAGTGGTTGCTTAGAGCTTAGAGATACAGCTGTGGACTTCGCCAGTGGGTTTATTCCTCTGCCCTAGTGGAATGATTAGTGTGACAGAGTTGGGAGATAGAAGTCAAATCAATAGAATTAAATCTTATGTACACAATTAAGGAAGGTTTACAGAGAGGGGGAGAGCATATCCACCAGGGCTGTCTACAAATACAAAAGCTGGGGTTTCCCCAACCTTTCAAAACTAAGCATATCATTTCCTACCATTGTTAGTTGCAGATGAGGCAAATTCTTCCCAATTGGAAAACACTGTGAAAAAATGTTACTTCTTAAGCTCAACAAAGCAGAAATCAGCTTTGTTGAACTTTGAGTGTTTTATTCTAAGTACTGTGAGTCTGCTGCACATCATGGAATCTGTTTGATTTTGTGAGAAGGGTAAATCCTAAAATGACAAGGACTGTGCAGTGGGATCCTAGGGGTGGGGTGGGGACAGCGGCATGAGCAGCCCTGCTGCCTCTTCCTTCCCTTCTCTTTCTCCTAGTGGCAGCGGCTGGAAGGAAGGCACATACCATCTGGGCCCCCTCCACACACCCCATTTCTGGGTGCAGAACATGTTATTCTTGCCCATCTTCTTACATGTTCCTGTAAAAGGCCACCTTTGCTCACCTGAATTCCTGATAGGTCTCTGATAAATAACTGTTCATGGATGACAGGTGCTCATTTTCTCCCTCAAACAGCTTGTTGGAGGCTGCATGCTGAAGAACCTTCGCCACAGACCCCAGGTTTCTCCTTTGGTCGGAATTGATCTGGCCTCCTGCTGTCATGTCAATGATGTCAAAGCCATCTGGAGCCACGATGGCTGGGTTCATGTACCGGTAGTACAGGAGATTTCCAACGATCTGCGTGACCCAGAGGAAAACGGGTTACTTAAGAGACAAATGAGCTCTGTTTGTTTTTCATTTTCAAGAATGTATTCATTTATATATTTGCCAAGACAGAGCAGGTCATTTCCTGACATGAATCCTACTAAGGCATTAGATGAAGACCATGAATACAATTACACACTAATATTGTATTTCACACAATTATTTTTGTTGAGGAATGAGTTTATGACCCCCAAATGTTCTAATACCAAGAGTTGCAGCAATGTCTAAGATTCCTAAATTTGCGCCAATAGACAGTCTCAACAGTCATTAGATACAGAGACTTGCAGTTTATTGTATAGTCATACATGAGGAAAAGTGGTCAAAACTGTCTGTTGGTCATTTTGGCTCAGACCCCCAAAGAGAAGCTACCATGAGATTACCCTTGAAAATCTACCTTTAATAGCTCATCTTCTGTGGCATCGGGGAATTTCTCATGGATGGAGTTCTTCAGTACCTTGGCTATATACCTCAATCCATAACTACATGTGGAACAGATGACAAAAGAAAATAATGGAAAAAGGCTAAGTGAGGCAAAGAAGCACAGTAATTGATCCAGTCAACTAAGCTCAGCAGTTCTCCTAAAAATTAAACATAAAATGAGATGCAATGGAATCACAGCCACTGACGCTAATACCTGAGCACTAGTGTGGCTATGGCCGAGGTATGGTTCCTTCAATGGAGAACAGGCATGAACTTAAACTGTATACGTAGGCTACTTTTATTTTTGTTGGTATCTGTTTTGTTTTGTTTTTGACAGAATGTCTTGCTGTGCAGGGAGGGTGGCCTTGAATTTGCTGTGTTGTCAAGGCTGGCTTTGAATTCCTGATCATCACATCTTAGCTTCCCAAATGCTGGGATGACAGGCAGGTGCTGTACCCTGGCTCTTAGTCATCTTTTTAAAAATACAATACAAGGGCGAATTCCTGTCTTCACTCCAGGGGCTTACTTTACATAGTAATATTCTAAGAACTTCCAGCAAAGACTGCTAAAGTTTCTACAAATCCAACTTACGGTAGTAGATCAAGGGAAGAAATGATAGAACTCAGGACTTTGTCAGTGACCTTCCTTAGGTTCTCAATGGATGCCTCCAGCTTATTTTTCACTTCTGGGTATGTGAGGGCTTGCTCCGTGGTCACATCATATGGCAGCTTGCTGAAAACACAAGAGTTGAAATGAATAGGAGCTGAGCTGTAGGTATGAGTACTCGTGTCCTGTCGAGGAGGCTCTACACCCAAGCTCTGTGGAATGATCTGGAGGTTGCCACAACTCCAGCAACACAGTTTGTTAAGTAAGGTACATAGATGTGCCTTCTACTACTAGTAGAGCAGGAGGGACTCCATGCCTCCCTCTCAGTTCTAAAGGAAAGATATAAGGCAGACCAGGTTATGTTGACCCAGTTAACCAACCTTCCTTCCTTTCAGTCTCCCACCCCCTTCCTTTTCCTGTTGCTGATTGAACCCACAGCCCTGTGCATTCTAGGCAAATATTCCACTCGCAAGCTACCACCCCAACCCCCATTTTCTTTTATTTCTCCTTTTACTAAGAATTTGCTACAGGGTCTTATGTAGTCCAGGCTGACCTCAAACTTGCTACTTATGTGGGGCTGGCCTGATCTTCCTGCCTTTACCTCTAAATTGCTGGGATTACAGAAATATCTCACCATATCTGGCTTCTTTTCACAGGAACACTGATGCCAATTTCCTATCTGAGTAAAGAACTATCCAAATCCTTCTCTACATATGACACATTCATGGGTGCAATGTAATCTTTGTATATACACATACAGTAGAGATCTAAAGAGTGTGTGAATATATGACCAAGTTTTTAAAAAAGAAAATGGGTTGTTGCACTGAAGCAACAAAAAGATACATTATGAACATATCTCTGATGTTAATAAATAGAACTCTACAGTACCATTTCTAATAGTCCTTACTCCATCATCTGCCACACAACTGGTTATCAAATAAACACCCCAAAGTAAATATTTTTAATTTCTTGATTTTTCACTATTACAAATAGTGCTATGAAAACTGTCCACCTAATACTTTGTGCGTCTAAATTCTTTAGCAAGGCATCTTTTTGCAGGAAATCAAAGGCTTGGACTGCTTAGATCACAAACTACCCCCAGAATAAGCCATCCCCACCTGAATCACTCTTGCTAACACACAGGGATTCACTATAAAGCTAATAAAGAATTTTTGTGAGATAAACAAAGTCTGTTCCACTTCTAGGTCTAGATTTAGAAACTCAAAGAACAAACAAGGAGGAGAATTACAGGAGTTGAGGGAGGATCAACTGGTTCTAAAATGTGAAAAATACCAGTTAGCATCAAGAAGACCACAACTCTGGGGTCTGGGGCGATCACTCAGTTAATAAGGGGCTAATCGCACTAGTGTGAGGACCCGAGTCCCATCCCCAGAAACCACAAAGAAAAGCCTGGTTTGGTGGTGAGCACTTGTAATCCAGCCCTGGAGAGATGGAGACAGGAGATTTCTGGGGCTTGGTAGCCAGTCAGCCCACTGACTTGTGAATTCCGGGGCAGTGAAAGATCTTGTCTCAAAACAAAGGACACATGTGCACAGGCACACACACAGGTAGTAATAAAGATATTACTACCATAAGTCATATTTCAGATTAAAAACTGGCTTTTGATAGTAATATTTTTCCTGTAACAGGGTCTAAGAATCACATGTAAAAATGATCTTCTGCTTCTGTTACCTGGCCTCTCCAGTCTGTGTTTCCAGTTGGTTCACCCAGGTCTTGTACACCTCCACAGGGTTGGTGTTGATGATCAGGGACCTGTCCTCAATGATCTCTTTCACCACTGGGGCCAGGAGCTGGCGCAAGGTGTTCTGTCCCCGGGCCCCTCTGTTAAAGCTGACGACCATCTTGATGACTGTGGGGTTACCAGTCACTATATCCTGTACCTGGTCCACCTTTGATCTAAACAAAGCCCGAGCCAAGACAAAATGAGTGGCACATATGGATATAGAGTTTTGAACAAGATAGAGCATCTCTGGCAGGCAAAAACTTTGGGGAAGTTTGTTCTTTATGAAAATCAGAGTTGACATGATTTCAAAAGAAGCACATATTTGTAAGATGTGTGTTTCTTACCTGAGCAATTGAAAGGACCCAAAAAATCCAGCTATAGCCTCAGTTTCATTTTAGAAGACATGCTTGAACTGAAAATGGTCCGAGACTTAGGGCTCTTGGGTGACACCATACTGTCTTACACCTCTCTACTGACCACATTTCAAAGAAAACTTTCTTGGTTGAAGGAACTATCTTGACATCTTCAGGTCCCTCTCACATTTCCTGCCATGTGGCTTCTCCTTCATTCCATGGCTGAGCTACATCACTCTGGAGAGCTCTTCCTTTCCCCTCTCTGCCACGCTCCCTCTTTTCCACTCATTCTCACCATTATTAGACCTAGTCATCCTTTTTATTTCCTTTGCCGGAGCTGCTTCCACTTTTAAATTCTTTCTTTCTTTCTTGACTAGTTGCAGGAACTGGCAGGGTGGATGGGGTGAAGTCAATGGTCCAGCCAAATGGTTACTGGTCCATCAAAGCCCTGATACCATGCTGTTCCCTCAGATCTCACTCACACGCAAGCAGCTTGAGTGGCTTGCCCTGGAGGCCAGTCTGGAATTTATAATTTTATTCTTTGTATTTTCACCCCCAAATTCTCTACCTATTGTTCAAACTCAGTGTGCTAAACACACAAACTACCTTTTCCCTATGACTTTCCTCATTTCTCTGACTTGTGCAGCTTTAATTCACCCTGTTTATACACTTTGTGTGGATGAGTTTTCAAACAAACAAACAAACAAACAAACAACCCCCCACGATATATCAGATGAATATCTTGCTCAAAAACCTTCCACAGAAGGTAAACAGAGGTCCTGGAGAGATGGCTCAACAGTTAAGAGTGCTTCCTGTTCTTTTAGAGGAGTTTGGTACCCAGCACCTACATCAAGTGGATCACAACTGCCTGTAACTCTAGCTTCAGGGAATCTGATGCCTTAGCCTAACTTCTGCAGATCACCCTTCACCAAAGTAAAAATAATTTTTTTTTAAAAAAGGTAAACAGAGCCTCAACACCCAGGCCTCCCCTCAGTATCTCAACTGACAGCCCCCAACCTATCTTTATAGCCATATCCACTGCTACTCACCAAATCACTTCTTTGATAGGTCTACTTACTTTCTCACACCTGTGCCATGATGGTTCTGTCCTTTTCTAGCTCTTACAATTGTAGTGAGTGATTCCCCATAGTTTGAGGTCAGACAGCTTCTCTTTCATAAAATCTTGAGTTGACCTAGTGGAACTCTCCTTCTGTCCCTCTAATCTGTTACATTGCGAATGCCATGTACTGCATTCTGCTGCTGGACATCACTATGCTCATGAGTCATCTCACACTGGCTTAGATACCCTGAGGGCACAGGCACCCTGATCCTGTGCTCTAGAAACTCACAGAAAAGAGCACAGCTTATGGTTCCAGGAAGCTAAGAAGGCAGTTAAAGTCCACTTTGGCTTGGGACATTTCTCATGCATTTTGGGGGACCTATTTATTTAGCTACCTACATGCTTTTTATATTAACTGAGTCAAAAAATACATCATCAAAATTTGCTAAAATTCAAAGAGGAAGGGAAGAGTGTTTAGCAGAGATCATAACCTCTACTGCATTCATTGATGGTTTTATTACTCAGAATTTTAGAAAGTAATTTTTATCACTGACTTTCAATAAGCTTTTGGCTTTCAGTTGTGTGGACACAGAAAGTAAACAGTTTATTCAACTCCACTCCAGAAAAGGGATTACTGGTGGGAGAAGGCTGCAGCTGATTACAGCTTTGACAAAGCAGAAATTCAACCATCAATTGAGATTCCATTTCAATGCCAAGAAACTTGACATATTTCAAGATGCATGAATTCCACTGTGATAACTTTAACATTATCTCAGGGAATCTGAGACAGCTACATGTATCTTCACATGTATTTATATACATACTTTATTTCTTCCTCCAGAGCAGTTTTAAAAAGTTTGAGCAGTAGGTACTCCTCTCGCTGATTAGAGGCATAATTGTAGAGTGTGAAAATAACAGTGTCCATGAATTTAGTTGACTTGTTCTGTGGCATCTGGAAAATCAGCTTAGCCAAGTACAAAGGGTTTGTCTACAAGGAATGAGGGAAGAAGAAAACAGTTGCACACACTATAGGTTAATCCATATGAAAGCAGAAAGCACAATCTGATTCTCCACTCTTTCATGACTTAATATATTATTAAAAGCATATAGATGAATTCCCAACACATAACATTTTAAAAGTAGCAGTCGACATCATTGAAGCTATAATATAGGAAGCTACATTTGAAAGTCACAAAATTTAAATGTTATATACTACATGGTTTATTTACTTTAGTTATCTTTTAACAGTACTCTTAACCCTTTGGAGGCATATACTACTATTTATTGTAGAGACGCAGAAGAGGAGCTGGGCTTGTGGAATCTGGAATAAAAGAAATGGAAAAGAATAGACTAAGGACCCAGCTACACAGACTGGCCTGGAAGGACTGAGGGACAAACAGAAGGAAATACATAACATCTCCTGACTCTAGAAGGAAAAAGAAAAGGCCATGCTTACACGTGTTGACAGTGAGCTGGTCATGAAGGTCTACAAGGAGTGAGAAGGTAGAGAGAGGTGGGGAGGCTGAGGAGAGGGGTGGTGGGGAAAGCCAACAAGGGAAATTCCAGAAGAACATGACCCAAACAACGACCACAGAAAAAGAAGAGTTCAAAAGGCTGACAGGAATTAGAAGATGGACTCTGCTAGATAAAGCGCCAGCCTTCCGTCTGTGGGTCTTTTTTTCAGAGCTCTGCTGACTGGGTGGTAATTAAAAGGGAAAACATAGCATTTATAGAGGAAAGAATTCACATAAAGATGGAATGCTCTTAACCTTCTCACTGCTGATGAGAAAAGAAAATGTGTAATTAATGTGCATGACAACTGCTCTGGTTTATAGGACTGTTTAGAACACTGCTGAGGTCACTCACAGTGATGGGTCGAGGTTTTATGCTTGAGAAGCTCAGGACCATATTTTATTGATAGGTTTGTAGAGTCTTTTCCCTAGTGAACCAACTAACTAACTGCTAACTAACTAACTAAACTAAAAGTGGGGATTGTAAGAAAGGAAATATATTCCACACATGGCTCATGCTGGAGAGACAAACCCAAGCAAAACCGCTCCTGGCTGATCTGCTGCATTGGTTTAGAATTCTTACTAAAGTGTGACTGAAAGACCAAAGGGATCCAGGCTATTTACTTTCCTACAATTTCTTCACTGACCTTGTGCTTATGTTTCAAAAACAGAGACTGATGAAAAGGTAGAGAAAATTACCAGACAAGCTTCAACTTGATGCAGCTGAATAGCCTGGCCCTGGGACTGTTTAGAAGTGCAGTTATTCTAAATATGTTCCTGGGCCTTTTCCCCTTTCATTAATGAGCCTTCACTTATAACAGGGCAAAAGATACAATTCTTAGCCCATGACTGGATTTTTAGCTTTCTCAGGACAGAAATTCTATCGAACTTAGAAATACTAAAGAACCTGCAAAAACTTGGACTTTCATGAATGTAAAAAATGACAAGTATCTAAGACTAAATTCCCAGGTTGACTGCTATTCTAAATTAGGCAACACAAAAACCTCTGCTTAAAGTGGCTGGCCTCTTTTGCTTCGGGAAAGGCTACCAGGTCAGCTGTGGATTCCACAGGCAAGACTAAGCATTACCATTTTTCCTCTTATGCTGCCACATGGTGGCCATCAGAGGTATCTACATCCTTTTGAAGATGGGCACAATCTGTTACTCCAAGTAGAGAATCTGCAACTCCACCAGCATTAACATCTTGTCTCTTGTTTGTGGTTTGTAAGTGCATTCTTTCTCTATGTATTTAATGCCAGGATGACTCTGAAGTAAAGATTCAGGCATCTCCAAGCCTGGACTCACACAAAGGGACACCTAATAGTGATAAGGAAGAACCACTGACCCGACCTTTGGCATTAATTTTCCTGCTGAAGGAAGGCCTGTTTCTATTACTAGCACCTGCCCAGGGTCCTCTGTGAGTAGTGGTATTGGTAAGAGGTAAATGGAGTAAATCAGTGGGGAACCAAGACAAGAGCCGACCCATCAAAGTCCAGCCATAACCAACTAAACTTCCTAGTTATCACTGGAAGCACTGGGAAATCATGATTCATTGAGATCCCAGCAATGATAGGATAATAATAAAGTTAAAAAGTCATGCTATTTCCTAATCCTACCCCTCTGGCTTTGCCCCTCAAAGAAAGACTAACTCTGGCACAGATCTGCCTTTCTAGTGATGAGTTTTTTTTCATGGTTGACATGAACTCTAATAACAACATGCTGTTGTTGTCATTTTAAAACTTATACTGTTTTTGAAGAGCACTGTGGTAGGCATACATGAAGAGTATGGGCCCAAAGGCTAACTCCCCAGATTCTGCCTTATCATTTACTGGCTAGGACTGAGTTTGACACTATGGGAAGAACGACAGGGCTTAGTTTCTCCTGGTTCCCAGGGTTATGGCAAGAATTAAATGAACTAATAGATGTAAAGCACCTAACACAGGATTTGGGACTTAGTAAAGTACCCCCTAAGCTAATATTATAAACTTATTATACCAAGCCATTATTCTACTGCTAATATACATTATACCAATAAGGTATTTAGCTGTAGCATGGGTAAAATTAAGAGACATGAAACATACTGTTTTATCTGAAACTCACAGTGGAAGGCTCACCTGTAGAAGGTAGAACAGCTGCTGATATGTCTCTAGTGTTTTCCTTCTCTCCTTACTCAAGCTTTTGATTCCCTGGTTGTCAGTGTTATTCAGTATTTCCATTTCTCCTCTTTTTTTCTTATTCAGCTTTTTCCTATGTGAGATTACATCCTGTGAAGAATTGTATGACATTGTTACTCTTTACTGCCTCCTTCCCCCCCCCCTCTCTCTCTCACACACACACACACCAATACATGCACAGGTGCAAAAATGAATTTTTCTATGTTTCTCTCATTTGTAAATAAAGGAAGTAAGGATATTAATTTGAGGTTTTGTAATATGCATTCACCAGAGCTGTATTCATTTGCTTTTAGGGTTTAATGTAGGCACCAAAAATGTTCAATGGAGTATTTAAGAAAGATTTATTAATTTTATTCATATGTTTGTGTGCCTGTGTGAATTTATGTGCATCACATGTGTGCTGGTGGAAGCTCCTGGAACTGGAATACAGGGGTTGTGTGTATTGATGTGGGTATTGAGATGTGGATCCTGGTCCTCTGCAAGAGCAGTAAGCACTGTTAACCCTTAACTCCTGAGCCACCTCTCTCTTTCCCAAGAATAGTCTTTTTAACAAATGGCACTAGGACAACTAGGTATCTACATTAAAAGAAAAGAGTTGGACCTCTGCCTCACAACATAAAGAGAGAAGAACTCAAAAGAGAAGAGAGAAATACATGTATGAGCAGAAACCTCTAGAAAGAAAAACCAAGTCAAACTTTTTTTTGTTTGGTCTTTTTGAGACAGGGTCTCCCTGTAGCCCCAGCTGGCCTGGAACTCACTATGTAGGCCAGGCTGGCCTTGAACTCACAGAGATCTGCCCGCCTCTGCCTCCCAAGTGTGGGGATTAAAAGCGTGTGCCACCACACCCAGCTCCAAGTCAAACATTTGACTGTGGACTAGGCAATAGATATCTAAGATACAACACCAAAAAAAAAAAAAAAAAAAAAAAAAACAAGTGACAAAAGGAACAACTAAATTGGCCTTCATCAAAATTAGAACAGCCTATGACTTAGAGGGTGGGAGAAAATACCTACAAAGGCTGATTGAATTATAGAGATTTTTTTTAATTTATTTTTTTTTATTATACGTGAATGAGTGTATTGCCTGCATGTGTGTAAGTACAGTCCTGTCATGCAATGCCTGCAGAGGTTAGAAGAGGGCATCAGATTCCCTGGAACTGGAGTTATGGATGGTTGTTAGCCACCATGTGGGTGCTGGGAATCGAACCCTGGTCATCTGTAAGAGGAGTCAGTGCTCTTAACCACTGAGATATCCCTTCAGCCCCAAATAATAGGGTTTTATCCAAAATAAATAAGTAGACTGTAACAATCAAAAAACATACAAAGAACTTGAATTGACATTTTTCCTCCCTCAAATGCAAAAATGGCAAAAATGCTTGAGATGGTCAACATTCATTTATTATTAGGACTGCAATCAAAACTATAAAGAAGCTAAGTCTATAATGCAATCATTTTTTCTCTATTATTTCTAAAATAATTATTTTATTATTTTTATTTTATGTGTATGAGTGTATTGCCTGCATGTGGGTATATGCACCTGTGTCATGCAATGACCGAAGAGTCAGAAGCAGACTTTGGATCTCCTGGAACTGGAGTTACAGAGAGTTGTTAGCCACCATGTAGGTGTAGGAATTCGAAGTACGTCCTCTTCAAGATCTGTCAGGGCTCTTAACTGCTGAGCCATCTCTCCAGCCCCCTCCCTGTCTTTTCTTTAGCAAATTTTCTTTAATAATGAAAGAAAGCCATACTGTTTTAGGTACCATTTTTGTCTCTATTATAGTATAAGCCATTTCCCCTGCCCTTAAATATTCTCCAAGGACTCTTCTTAGGGGCTGCATTGTGTGTGTGTGTGTGTGTGTGTGTGTGTGTGTGTGTGTGTTGAGCTAGTCTCATGGCTGTGATGGTTAATCCTCACTGTCCACTTGACTGGATCTGCAATCTTTGAGGAGGCACACCTCTGGGCGTGTATGTGACAGTGTTCCCAGAGAAGTTTAACAAATGGTGGCACTATCCCTTGGGTTGAGGTCTAGGGAGGAATAAAAAAGAAAAAAGGAGAAGCTGAGTGAGCTGAGCACTGGCATCCATCTCTCTCTGCTTCGTGACTGCAGATGCGATGTAAACAGCTGCCTCACACTCCTGTCACCACAGGACAGCGACCCTTGCTGCCACTCCTTACCTGCTATGATGGACTGTACTCTTAAACTATGAGCCCCCCAAAGTCTTCTTAAGTTGCTTTTGTCAGATATTTTGCTACAAGAAAAGCAACTAATGAATGCTGCTCAGTTTGTGGCGTGTTTAAGCTGCTTTCTACTTTTGCAGCGTTATAAATACATTCTAAGTAAACCTCCATGTTCTGATCTTCCCATCAAATTAAAAATGGTACTAACAATGGGAGGACTAAAGACTGTATGTTTAGTAATCATTAGTTTAACGTCTAATAAATGCTAGATGCATATTTAGTGTTGGAAAACTAAACAGAAACAGGAACTTTTTGGGAGAGAGGGTTTTGCTTATGTTGCAATACTTCTGTCTTAGGCGCCCCAGTAGCTGGGATTACAGGTACACACCAGTGTATCTGGCTCAAAAATTTTATTTTTCACAAAGCTATCAATTATCAATGAATATTCTTTTAACAAAACAATATAAAGCAAACCCTCGCACAGTTACAGAGATGTAGATATCTGCCATAATTGTATATCCGCAGGATCCGTACTATTTAAACTATCTGCTGATCTGAAAGTAAGTTTTTGAGATGAAAGCTATTTCCTGTTTACAAGTTTATGGGGACAGGGTACATCAGCAATTTAAGGCCATAAAAGGCACTCTGAAAGATCCTTTGCATCTATTATACTTACAAAGTTCTCAAGTGAATAAGAAAACACACAATTAAAAAAAGGTCACATGCCATTATTTTCTTGATAAAACTTAATATGTAACAAATTGCAGTTTTATTTTTGAATATTTAAAAAACACAATTTCCTATTTTATAAGCTGCTCTATTTTCATGATTTTCTCTCCAGCTCTCTTCCTGGTATCTTTCCCAGGTCTGGAGGACAAGGATAGGACATTCAGGTGCCCACTTCCTGGGTAGCACATGGCTGCCATCTGAACTGTGGTACACCACTGACAACTGGACTCCCATCTTTGACTATGCACAGCCTCCTTGAGTTTCCAAACTTCAGCTTCCCTCCTAGATCTATGCAGTTTCTGAAAACTGATGTGACATTTAGGAAGAGACAGGGCCACGGAGGGAGGTCTTACCCTGGAAATTTGTTCTTGGATTAAAAATGACTCTTTTTACACTGTTTTATGGAGTGCAGAATCTGAGACTGTTTGGAAGCCACTCATGATTTGGTATTACTCTTTGGAGGGCATTTGGGAAACTATAAGAATGTTTTGGGAGGTCTTAACTGGAAGTCATTTGCGGTTTCTGGTGGGTGGGGGCTAGAGATGACAGATGTGCTGTCTGGCAGGTTTTGTAGAATGATCCTGTGTAAATTATCTTCTCTCATTTTGAAGAGTAGAAATTTGGAATGTCCTTCTGCTCATTCACATAGGTGTGTTTGTAATTAAGCCTAGAATCTAAGTGGTTTACATATACTACAATATATTTTTTCTCTACAAAAAATTTTCAATATACACTGGGGATTTTTCTAGGACTGCGGCTGCTGTGTATATTGGGGACAGGCCACACTTGGTTTATATTGAACTTTATGAGAAGCTGAAAACTAGGCTCTGATTGTACCACCCTTCAATGCATCAGGATCTTCTGCAGTCCTCAGTCTGTGGTGATTCTGGGAAAAGGCCAGAGTCTCCAGTAACCTTAGCATGTCTTCTGGTGTCATCAGGGTCTTGCATTTTCACTTTAAAACATGTAAAGGTTTTTTAAAAAATATTTTCTTTATTATTTTAATTTTATGGGTATGAGTGTTACACCTGTATGTAAGTGCACCCGTGTCATGCAATGCCCGCAGAGGACAGAAGAGGCTGTCGGATCCTCTGGAACTGGAGTTACAGACAATTCTTAGCTGCCATGTGGGTGTTGGGATTCGAACCCAGGTCTTCTGCAAGAACAGTCAGTGTTCTTAACTGCTGAGCCATCTCTCCAGCCCCCACCCAAGGTTTTTTTTATAGAGACAGTATCACTATGTAGCAGTGGCAGGCTTACTTACTATGTAGACCAGGCTGACCTTGAGCTCAGATATCCACCTGCCTCTGCCTTCTGAGATTAAAGGTGTATGCCACCCTGTCTGGCCCTAGTTTTTGTAGTTTTTGAATGGTGAAATATTTTACGTCTAGTTAACATAAAGGCCTTGGCTTCACTATGAAGGTACATATGTAAGTAGGCTTTGTTATATGTAAGTTTCATTTCACAATGGGAAAGAAGTCTATTGCCAGACCACCCTGAATGCACCTGATCTTATCAGAATGGTTAATAAGAATTACAACTATGCCATATACAAGGGGCATCAACATTTACAGGTCTGAAAACTCCTAACTTATAGTGAACGTTGGACAGCTTACGCTCCCTTGTGCTTGACGGAACCAAAGCATCATGGGCATATACATGTGCAGTTCTTTCCCTGCTGGGAGTCGAGGGTCTCTCGGTCCACCCACCTCCAGTGTGATCCTGTTCTTCACCAGAAGTCCAATCTTGATGTCCATCAGGTTCAGGTCTTTCTCCAGCTGCTGATTGGCCCTGATCTTAGTCACTACTTCTTCTCTTAGCCTCGCTACCTCCAGCTCCTCCTGGAAATCCAAGTTACTTTGTTCCAGCAGGTACACAAACTTTCGGATTACTGTTAATGGTGGGTTTTCAGAGCCAACTGCAGGGAGAAGAACAGGTATATTTTAATTCAGAATCACTAATATCAGGAAAACAACCAGCTCTGCTAATTAAGTATTACTACAAACATATACCAACGAAAGCCTGTAGACTATGGAATGGATCATTCTTTAACATGGAAGAGCTAGATAAAGCAGACTCATATAAACAAATGCACAAAGCCAATAGTGGCTGGCCTCACTATTTTCTAGTTATCTAATAGTCATTAATCAGACCTCTCCCCACTGTCACCAGACTCAGACACTAAGCAGACAGCACTATCTGTGCCTTACTGATGAGGAACTTGGGAAAGAAAGTTAACCAACAGGCATTGGCTCTGAGACCTAGTGGCTGAGCCAGATAAGAGGTTAAAATTCTGGAGATACAGGAAGCAGGAAGTGGTTTCTCTCAGAACAAAGGATCTCTGGGAAGGAGCCAGAACTAAGTGAAAGTCAGTGAGGAAAGACCAAGGAAGGGGGACTCCAAAGGACTAACAGGAATTAACCAAAAGATAAGTGGGCTCTCTTTGACAGAAATGAAAAGATCTTAGAAACTGAAACTTGATAATTGTCTTTTTTAATATTTATTATTTTCATGTGTATAAGTGTACTGCCTGCATGTATGTAAGTGCACCCATGTTGTGCAATGCCTGTGGAGGTCAGAAGGCTTCAAATCCCCTAGAACTGGAGTTATGGATGGGTATTAGTCAACATGTGGATGCTGGGAATCCAAACTAGGTCCTCTGCAAGAGCAGTCAGTACTCTTAACTGCTGAGCTATCATCTCTCCAGCCCTTGATCATTGTCTTTTTAAGAGATTTATTTATTTTTAATTTTATGTGTATGAGTGTTTTGCCTGCATGTATATATGTGTAACACATGTGTGCAGGTACCCAAAGAGGTCAGAAGAGGTTGTCAGAGCCCAGGGAACTGGAGTTACAGGTGATTGTGAACTGCCATGTGGGTGCTGGGAACTGAACCCAGGTCCTCTACAAGAAAAACCAAAGCTCTTAACTGCCGAGTCATCTCTCTAGCCCCCTAATCACTGGACCATTTATGGTAAATTTTTAATTGATTTTTTTGTGTATTTCATACAGAACATCTTAATCATCTTTATACCCCCTTCCCCATTAGCACCCTCCCATAGCTCCCTTCTCCCCCACTGGATTTCATGCATTCTGTCATTTATGTTAAGGCCTATCATGTCATGTTAGTGTCCCCAGATGTCCCTCAGTGTAAGTTCATTCACTGAGGTCTAGTCAGCTTATCTAGAGTCCCTCCCTTTAAGATCAGCTCTTCCTCACCCAGCAGTGAACAGCTACCAATAATTTTTCAACTAAGATTGGGACATGCTACCATTTACACAGTTCTGTACTGGGTTTTTGTCTGCTGGAGTTTGCATGGTTTTTGTGCATGCTGATACCATTAGAGGGTGTTGAGAATCCAGGGTATTTGTGTATAAATTCTGAGAGGGTTTTCTTTTAGTGCCGAACTTCAACTTTATGTTTTAATTCCCTGGTACTATGACTTTTGGGAACACTTTCTCTTTTAAATATGTGCAATGAGATCAGTTCTGGGTAAAGAGAACAAACCACCTGGGATGTGGAGAAGCAGTAACAAAGTAGAAAGAAGAGAATGCCATCCAGCCATGGTGACTTGGATGTCTGTCCTCCTTTTCATCAAGGGCTCTATCAGTCTTCCTTGTACTTATAGCTTAATTCTGTGGTGTTTGGATTTTCAATGTAGAATTTAGAACAGCACCTAGTAACTCACAGAATGACTCTAGCATGAACAACCAAGTCTAGAAGTCACCTATACTGTTCTGCCTTTGAAGATCTTCACCAAGAAATGATCCTGGATCATGCTTGTAGTTATCATCGTTGGGAGATGAGATTGTGCTTTGTTTTGTTGACTTCTCTTAAATTTTTTAGAGTACTTTGCTTGCATGTATCTAAGTGCACCACATATCTGCAATACCAGAAGAGGCCAGGAGAGGGCAGCGAATCCCCTGGAAATGGAGTTATGAATGGTTAGCTGTGGCCATGTGGGAACAGAACTTGGGTTCTCTGCAAGAGCAGCCAGTGCTCTTAAACACTGAGTCATCTCTCCAGCCTACTCTCTACTCTCACCCCTCCTTTTTTTTTTCCTTAGACATGATATCATGTAGCCTGGGATGGCCTCAAACTCACTATACTACTGAGGATAGCCTTAAACTCCTGATCCTCCTGCCTCCATTTCCCAGTGTTGAGATAATAGGTATGCACCCCTCCACACTCAGCTTGTTTTCCTGTTTTTTCATGAGTGTTTCCAAACTTTTTTTTCGGTTTTTTTGAGACAGAGTCTCCCTTTAGCCCTAGCTGGCCTATAACTCTTTTATGTAGACCAGCCTGGCCTCAAACTCACAGAGATCTGCCTGCCTCTACCTCCAGAGTACTGGGATTAAAGGACATGTGCCACCACACCCTACCCAAAATTTCTTATACAAACACATTTAATACTTAAAAAGGAGAGGGAAAAATCATAGGCCAGGTAATAAATCGAACAATTGAAATGTGAACTTATCTTCTGGTTTATCTTCTTTTGTCTACCTGTAGTTCCACTTTAATATAAAAGTTGTGTTTATGCCATTCTTTCTGAAGAAGAAATTACATCACTCTACCCATTCCTTCCATGTTTAGTAGGAACACTGATTCCTGTCACCATCTGTTCCTCTGTATACCTGTTCAGATCTTACAGCCTGAGAGGACCAAAGTCTAAAGCAAACAGAGGCATGGTCCATTCTTTATTCTTGGAACAGCTCCACAGCCACTAGGCCAGGAAGAACTTGAGCTTGCTGGTTAGGATGGACCCCAGGCTCTCCTTCTGACAATGTCCACTTACCTAGTGCTTTGTAGTCATCTCGGGCTTTGTTTGCTCGGATTAGGGATTGTATTTTCACAATTTCATTGCTCTGCAAAAGCATTGAAACAAGTCATGCATGACCTCTGAGTCCCGTTCACTCCACTGTTTCAGAATTTGGAACTTTTAAGACTTGACACTAAGAACTGACACATTAGAATTGCTGGTATTTAGATGTAGTGCATTCAACATTCATTTTTCCATTTTATGAAGGAGTACAATGAGTTGCCTGCAAATATATGCAAGACTGTGGAGGAACTGTTTAAATAAGGGATCTAAAGGGGGAAAAGTGGCACAGAGCTTGAATGACTCAATCAATGTTACATAGTTACTCTTTGAACATTCTGAAATCCATTAGTTAACAGCCAGAAAAACTGTATATCCACGCTGGAAACTACTTTTCTAGAATCTTCTCTCTTTGGTGTTACTAGCCCACACTTTTCATCCCACTTGTGTTCTTTCTATTCCTGAATGGTAAAGCCTCTCAGGGAGCCTTCTGAGTTAAGAAGCAAACCTTCAAATACTGTCACACTGAGCTCTAAAGTCTCTTCTTTTCCAGATGGTCATTTGCACCATTTAGTAAAATTATCCAATGCTAGCATTCAGTAAACATCCATTGAATTCATTCTTAGCCCAAACAAAAAGCCGCATGCATGGGTCTTACATGATCTTTGAAGTACTGTAGTCGTGAAAGGTAGCTTTTTCTCGCTGCTGCCATTCGGAACCAGGACTGAATCTGAAATGCAGTGGATAGAGACACCATGGTGATCCCGAAACAAACTCTCAATATAGCTTTACATACTTTCCTAAAAATAGTATTATTTGATAAAAATGAGTAGCCTTGTTCATCTGTAAACCCAACACTCAGGAGGCTGAGACAGGAGGATGAGGAATTCGAAATCACTTTGGGCTACATACAAGACTGTGTGTCAAAACAAACAAACAAACAAACAAACAAAAACAATGAACCTTCAGCTCTCACTTCTTTTGTTGCTTTCTTTCAAGGTTTTCAAAACACTTTATATGTCAGCCTTAAATTCATTGAGTTACAGGAAAGGGGTGGGGAGGCGTGTTGTTTTGTTTTCACCTCAGACAACAAAAGTCAAGGGAGAAAGGCAGTTAGCGGAGTTGCAATTAGTCAGTAAATTAAATTAAACTAATTTCAGGGCTTCTTTCATCATCCAACTCTTAGGTTTCTCTTTTTAAAAAGTATTTATGGGGCTGGAGAAATGGTTCAGCAGTTAAGAGCACTGGTTGCTCTTGCAGAGGATCTGAGTTCAGTTCTGGGCACCCACATGGTGGGTAACAACTTTCCATTAACACCAGTTCCAGGGGATTTGACACTGTCTTCTGACCTTCGTAGGCACTGCATGACATGTGTAGACTTACATGCATGCAGGAAGTACACACACTAAAAATAAAAAATATATTACAAAGTTTATTAATTAATTTTGTGTGTGTGTGTGTGTGTGTGTGTGTGTGTGTGTTAGAGGACTACTTGTGGGAGTCTCCTCTCTCCTTCTACCATGCGGGTCCTGGGGATCAAACTCAGGTTGTCATGCTTGGCAGCAAGTTCTTTTACCTCTTAAGCCATCTCACTGGCCCCATCTCTTAGATTTCTATATGAAATGTCTTAAGATATCTTGGGTAGGATCAACTGCTCCCAACAGTTTTCTGAGGGAAGTGGTATGTATTCTACAGTGGACATAGGACAATGTCCCTTGAAGGAGCTAAGGCACAATGGCTCTAGCCCTGTCATTCTCTGCCTCTGGCAATTTCAAATATCTTTTAACTTATCTGATTCCAATTTCTTTCTGGCCCTTGTTCTGATTCTCATATAGATTTCCAGGGTGTCTACCAGTTCATCTTGTCTACTACCTTTTCTTTCTACAGCTTTTCTTTCTCCACCTGAGTAGCTCAGGACTAGCTCAGCACAGACACACATCCTGACTACCTGGAATTGCTCTCATCACTGGCTTTGTATTTGTCTCACAACTCACGCTTTCTGCTGCTGTGTTTGAGCATTCTAAATATTATTAGTAAATGCAGTAAGAGGAACATGAAATTAGACTGAGTAGGGACAGGATGGAGAGGAACCCGGCTTTAAAGTCAATTTGGATTTTCTAGATGAAGAACTGGCTACAAAAAGATTTTCACACTCGAATCTCATGACCACATAAAGGATGTGGGTCAGTCACACTGGTTCACTGATGTGCCTGAAGATGATTCAAACCCAGGACTGACCTTCAAGGCTCAAACATACCTTGTTTACAGCTGTGTCTTCTAGATTCAAAACAAAGCAAGGGGAAGATTTTAAGCCAAGCACTTGATATGGTAGAAAGGGGTATTTACCTTCACGACAGAATCAACGTTACCAATTAATACTTGTTGCCTCTGCAGATATTCCTGCCGTTGTTTATGTCCCTTCCAGAAAGCCTGAGGGAAAGAGTGGGTCACAGATGACTCATGACATTTCACCACAGTTTATTTGGAAATAGCTAGCACAGAACACATCTCAGGAGGTACAGAGTTGAGATATCATCAGGGACCATCCCCTCCAAATCTCCTCTGGATACCATGATCAATGGTGGATGCTTAACTGGGGCAGAGTTCACCAGCTTGCAGCTGAGACTGGACCCAAGATGGGGCAGGCAGGGCAAGGGAGATCAATTACCAGCTTGGTACTCAGTTTTCTACTTGAAAGCTTAATTTTACCAAGGCTCTAGGTGACAAAAAGGGAATAAGGAATGCTCCCCTAGAATTTTGGGCACTACTCAGTATTATTTAGTAGCAATACAAAAACACTTGAAATAGTGATTAATAAGAGAATATCTTTATTGCACCAGCGGTCTACTCGGGCAAGACTGGAAAGGAAGACACTCTACTCACTGTTGACTCTGAATCCCCCAAAATATATTTGTAATTAACCATTTATTGTTTCTTGTGCTTCCACATACAGTCAAGAGATGCTTCGTGAAATTAGCTGTATATGTTTATTACCACTAGGGAGAATTTTTATAGGAGCTGTTTCCAAAAATTGGACATAAATTAATATTCATAGAAGAATTAAATCTGTGACTGTTGCCATTTTTTTTCTAATTCAGTCATGAGCACCTTGTTATGGAAGCATATCATCTTTCTAATTCACCCCAATTCACTGATATTATTGTTCTCATTATAGATGAAATGTGTGTTCCTTGTTAAAAGGGAGAAATCTGATCATTTTTGTAATTTCCTTCACATGTCTGCATCTACCTCACTCATTCTTTATAAAAAATGTGTAAGGAATTTGTCATTTTATTATTTCAAAAGTAATATACTTTGTGTAGTGACTTCAAATGAGGCCGTATGAATGAAGTGAGAATGACTGAGCATTCTTAGAAATGGTGAACATACTCAATTTTTCAAAATAAAAAATATTGATTCATAGGAAGCTACTATAAAAATACGTTGCGTTCCATATATTTTCCTTCATTGCTATCTCACTCTAAAAAATTTTATTACATTTATTTATTTGTTTATTGTGTGTGTTGTATTTACAGCTGCCTCTGGGCATATGTGGAGATCAGAAAATAAACCCTTGTGGGAGTCAGTTCTCTCTTTCCACCATATAGATCTTGGAGATCAAACTCAGGTTGTCAGCAAGTGCTTTTACCCACTGAGCCACCTCACTGGCCCTGATATCTCACTCTTAAAGTAATCCACAATAGTGCTAGAAATCAGGAAGGTGAAGAGATCAAAAGTTATGAGTTCCTGGAAGAGGGAAGGCAATCAGACTGAAAGAAAGAACCAGAGATCAAAGTTCTGTAAGTGTGGGGACATCTTTGGGATGGCTGTAAGCTTGAGGGAGCCTTGAATGACAGAGTAGTGAGGGAAACTGTCATCTTATCCATTTGTCAAACAGTAGACAAAAAATCATAGTAGAGGCATTGGGGAGACTTGAGCAAACTATAAAGTATACGGCTTTTTTGGAGGAAATTTAGCAACAGCCAATTTATAGCTTTTTATAGCCAATTTTTAGCTTTTTCCATAGTATTTAAAAATTTCAATATACTTAGCCTAGAGATATATAAGCACCTGGTAAGAAAAAGTCCACACATGAGGGTCTTTGTTGCAGCATTGCTTGCAACACCAAAAATGTGTATAATCAGAATGTTCACAGCTAGAAGACTGGCTGGATAGGGTGTCCCACTCTTGCTCAGGGATGCTACATGCAGGTAACAATGGGTACATGCACCCACTATGGTAACTGTATGCATTTGGAGGAAAAGGGAGCTCTTTAAGACATATTGTCAGGATAAAAATGAAACTGTAGCTTGTCATATATATTATGATGCTGCATTATAAAAACTGATGAAATAATATATATTTTGAATTAATGTCACTGCTTAGACTTTTTAGACTGTGCAGTGAACACAGAATGAGATTATAATGTGAAACACATTTATCTATCTGTGATGGTTTGAATGAAAATGTCCCCCATAAGCTCCAAGTATTTGGACATTTTGTTGCCAGATGGTGGTGCTGTTTAGGGAGGTTTTAGAAGTCGTGGCTATCCTGGAGGAAGCACGTCAGTGGGGGTGGGCTTAGAGAATTCTTAAGCCTTGCCAGATCTCCAGTTGCTCTCTTGCTTCCTGTGCCTGTGTGATGATGTGAGAGCTTAGCTTCTGCTGCTCCTGCTCCAACCACCTCCAGCCACCATGCCTCCCTGCCATGACAAAGTGTAATTCCCCTGGAACCGTAAGCTCAAATAAACTTTTCCTTCTATAAATTGCTTCAGTCAGTGTTTCTATCACAGCAACAGAAGAGTGACTAATACAGTATCTGTCCCTGTTTCCACTGAGTTTCTATTAACATTTTACTATGCACACTTCTAAATATGTACAACACATATATACATATGCATGCTATTATGCATAAATAAACTACATGAATCATGTTATATGTGTTTCTTTCCTTTTTGACAAAATGGGATCCAACAATATGCCAACATTTGCTTTTTCCTATAAATTATATGAACTACTGCTATGATTTTATCCATATATGACATATATATAAATTCAGATTATATATATAAAGACAGATTCTCACTTTTTAATGACCACATAGTATTCTATAGTATAGAATGAGTATAATTTAAAATTCCCAAACTAATGGGATTAAGTTGTAATCATTTTTTTAACAGTTTCAACCTTGCACACGTGATTATTTAATGTGACTATTTCCATTAAGATAGGTTTCTGCCGGGCGTGGTGGTGCATGCCTTTAATCCTAGCACTCAGGAGGCAGAGGCAGGAGGATCTCTGTGAGTTCAAGGCCAGCCTGGTCTACAATAGTAAGTTTCAGGACAGCTGGGGCTACAGGGAGACCCTTTCTCAAAAAGCACTCCCCCCCAAAAAAGATAGGTTTCTAAGCCAGGCATGGTGGTACACGCCTTTAATCCCATCACTGGGGAGGCAAATAGATCTCTATGAGATTGAGACCAGCCTGGTCTACATAGCAAGTTTCAGACCAGCTGGGGCTATAGGGAGACCATATTTCAAAAAACAAAAAAGGGGGGGGGAAATTCCTAGAAAGGGGCATACTAACTAGATATTTAAAATATATATTGAGAACTCAAATTGTCTTCCAAAGGTGATAAACAGCTCTTGCCAGCGGGCTTACTGGACTTATAAAAAAATTAGGTTGATATAAACGCTGAGAAGTGAATATGTTTCCTCACTTAAATAATTATTTATATTTTATGTGTATGAGTGTTTTGCTTCCATGTACGAAAGTGTACCCAGTCGGGAAATGCCGATGAAGGCCAGAAGAGGGCGTTAGATCCCCTGGAACTGGAGTTAGGGACAGTTGTTAGCTGCCATGAGGGTGCTGGGAACTGAACCGGGTCCTCTGCAAGAGTGGCCATTGCTCTTAACCACTGAGCCATCTCTCCAGTCCCCTTTCCTCACTATTATTGATATTTTAATCTCTACTACAGTGAAAAGAAACCTTAACTCTCCCATTACATATCTTTATCCTTCTCCATTTATAATTGCTTAAAATAGTTTTAGATATATTCAGAACATCAGACAATGTTATAATTTTTGTTTCCACGAGCAATTTAAAACACTTGAGAAAAATATTCTCTTGAGTGACCTTTTCTTTATTTTAGTCTTATATGTATGAGTATTCTGTCTGTATGTATGTATGTAAGGGCCCAGAGAAGCCAAAAGAAGGCATTGGATCCCTTGGTACTGAAGTTGTAGATAGCTGTTAGCCACCATGTGGGTGCTGGGAACTGAAAACCCAGGTCCTGCAAGAGTGGCAGGTGAGAAACCACTGAGAAATCTTTCTAGCCCCATATTTACTAATGGGGAAAAAACCCTTCTTTTTGTTATGACCTCTTCTCTCTCTCTCTCTCTCTCTCTCTCTCTCTCTCTCTCTCTCTC